AAAGAAAGAAAGAAAGAAAGAAAGAAAGAAAGAAAGAAAGAAAGAAAGAAAGAAAGAAAGAAAGAAAGAAAGAAAGGATATTGTCATGATTTAAAACTGGACATGACCATATTGAGCAGCTTTCTGAAAGCTGCTCAATACGAAAACTTACCGCATTTACTCCCAGCTTTGATGCACACGTTTTCAGCCGATATGTGTCCAGATGATATGTGAACTGTTGTCGCATCTTTAGTGCCTGGAAAGAAGTAGAGGTGTACTTGTAAACCAGGGGCCAAGCTTGAACTGGACCTCTGGCTTCCTCCCCGGTCTCTGATCACCAAAGGGGTGGACTCCTCCTCCCTTAGATCGATGGACATGTCTGAGGATCAAATCAACATTATGTAAGTATTTTGACTTGCCCTGTGATACATATATACATATATGCATTTATGTTTATGTTTTGCTGTTTGCATGTTGCCCTCATTGCATCTGCAGAGACTGGCGTTGGCTCGGCCTGTTGCCTGTTTATTGTCAGAGGTAGCATTGATCAGAATAACAAAACTGTCACACAAATAGCTTGTGGGCTGTGGTGTCTCAGAGCATGATGCTCAAAGTTTAGTTATTCTTAGAGCATTTAACCAAAATGACGTGCTACATGACAGGCAGTTACACTGGCCGCTGACAGCATTAGTCATTCTCTACTTCCAGCCTCTGTGAATGTGTTAGAGTTAGTCGTCAGAGGTCTCCATGATGCTTTCTGAAAGACGTCCCCCTCATTAGCATAACGGAGAGGATGTATCTCTACATGAATGCAGACAAAGTAACTTTTTACAACTAGTTTGAATAATGGCATTTGGCCTTTTTCATCTGGTGGTTTGTACATCTGATATTTAAAAATGTGGGTATGTATGTGAAGCATTTCTCTGTGAGCATTACCTTTATCTGAATATTGTTCTATAAGGTTTGAGAATATGTGATATAGACTAATGGGGATTTCCCATTTCATCACATGGAAGTATTACCGTACTCATGTATTACTGATCATGAGCAAGAAACTTCAAACTAGCACCTAACCATAGTCTAAGCATGTGACATAATAAACATTATGTGATCTTATAAAACATTGTTTCATGTTAAATCTCTCCGAATACATGAAGGAAAATGTCTTTAATGAAGTTCACATTTAAGCATATCAACATCAGTTAAAAAAAAACCTTTGGCTGCATGTCCAGTAAGGAATTCACTTGTAGGTGAATCAAAACTTAAAGCATTTCACAGATAGCCAGAAAACAAGCAGCTAAACAACAGAGCAAAAGCATTTGTCACAACGAAACCTGTCAAAAGAAACCTGAACCATGATACCTCTTAGCACGTGATGATCACAAAAAGCTTTATTCTTAAAATTTTAGGATTAAAGTAACGAGTGGTATCATATACATTTGTCCTATTGTTACCTTTATGTTTGCGCAAGTCCTAATATGGCTAATTTGTTCCTGTAAGTTCCATAGTTCCTGTAAGTTCTTCTTTTGGTACTTCTGACTTCTCGCTTTGTTGGCGTGTCGTTGTGTATGTTGACAGGAAGTTTCAGTGGTTTCCTGATTATGGCTACTGACTCCTGTAGTCTCTGTCGAGCTGTTACTAATACTTCAAATTATTACATTTAATCTGGACATAGAAATAGGTTTGTTCATCAGATGAAATCTTTTGTTACTAAATTCTAAAAAAAGTTATTTGTCTTCAAAACCTTGTGTCCTTTCTGTTTTATCTCTCAGTGTGATCTGAAGTTTATATCCTAATACCATAATCCAAAAACTAAATTACACCCATTATTGATTTAAGTTTCCAATAAAGAATAAAATTGTTTTAATTTGCCAATGCGTTAAGAGCAAAATATTACACAGCACATACATGTACAGTATCATGCAGTATATACACACAAGGTTTACAAAAGTCTGTTCTTCAGTTTATGGATAAAACTTTTAGAACCTGTTTTGGTTATTTGACATTAACCCTTCCATCAGAAAAGTTTACCAAAACTGTTATCACTGAGATTTGGCATTAGAACTGAAATGGTTCAATGGTTAAGAAACAAATCATTTATTCTAAAACCTGAATGCCATAAATTCATGAGGAGGAAACTAAAAACGTGCCCCATCTGTGAATCAATGAAGGTCAATCTTACCTGACTTAAGACTCTAGTACAGGAAGCTCATATGGCATTGACAATGATTGAAATTTGATGGAAATTGCTACATAGTCACACCAAAATATGGTTCTTAGAAGAGATCATTGTATCTGACATTACAGGAAAAGTAAGTCAGCTGACATGTGTGGTTTTTCTGTTAAGCAGCACAGTTTCCTGTTCCAGTTTTGACAAAACCACCTGATTTGAACAGCAAGCAATCGTACACAGGCAATAATTCTCGCAACATTTTGCTCATCCAGTTCAAGATTCTTCCGACCTTTTTATTTTTCATTATGATTTTTCTGTTTTGTATGTTTATATCAGTTACGTTTTCATAGACATATGACATGATAGGAAGAGTTTTCTAACAACAAACCCTACCTCTCGCTGGAAAGCGAGATGTAAAGTTGTGTTTTCAACTCTTAAAAGCCTCCCTGGTTACTGATGAATAGAGGAAAATGAGAATGGCGAAAATCTGCTTACTTTGAACGGGACTATCTTTCCATGTGATGAATGAATCATATCATATGGTATGAAAATATAACATTCCTAAAAATGGGGGTAAAATTATTATTTTCATGCAACTAAAAGATCCAAACATAAATTCAAAGGTTTAACGGCAAAAAAAAACTAATTGAGTGTATGACTGTCATCTTATATTATTCTTGGTTTGATTTATTTATTATCTTTCCAAATGGACTTAATCTAAATCAGTTTAACTTTGTCATGAATTCCCCTTGCCTTAAAAATTGTGTTCCGAAAAGGACAATTTTACATCTATCTATTTGTCTATCTTTTTTTGCCTGGTCTTGCTTATGAGACCTTCACTTTGAGAGCAGGAAGGTGATTGGTTGACTCAGTTGTAGATCATGGATTGGTTTTGTTTGAATGGATTTAATTATATTCCATGCAACTGAAAAAAAACAGCTGTTTCTTGAAAAAAACTGTTGAGTATTTTTAGAACAATATACACCATCTTAGTATCTTAAAGTATTTTAAAGTGGTTCTTGTCATTTTACTTTTATGATGTCTCTATACAGCCCTTATAAATTATGTAATTTCAAAAAACCTTTTCGTATCATTTTTTGTTTTTTCTTCTTAGAGCTAAGCGATTCCGAGTCGTCGTTGCTTTCCCTCGTATGTAATAGACCTATGAACATCTATAGATTTCATTTCAAAATTCATGCAGCTGTTTCAAAGTCCACATTGGAAAGCCAAATATAGAACCATTTTTATAGTCAGAAGCTTCAACTTTACAACCCTCTTTTTATCCCTGCCCTTGAAACCTTTAATGACAAAGCTCTTTTACGTAATTTTGGATGCACAAGACAAAGGTTTATAAGTCCCTTGCATCTCTTTATATGATCTTAAAATGAATGCTGTATAAAAAAAATGTTTTAACATTTCTTGAATTTTCAGAGGTTAAAGAAAAAATCAAGAAAAGATGTTGGGTAATCATTCAGAAAGATTCTGTTTCTTAAGGACTGGGTATTCTAAGGGTGTGAACACAGTATTTAACAGCAAGAGATTCCATCTGAATCTACAGTGGCACTATACTGCTGTGTCAGCAATTTCACCCTTGTCGAACCCTTTTAAGTTTTTCTTTTTCACTTCTTGAGATTGTATTATTAGCTGCTGTATTTCCCAGAAAGTTCTTCATCTAACCAAAAGCTTAAACCCAGCTGAGTTGAAGAGAATATATTATAAGAGTATAGTAAATACTTTGATCTTAATACGATAAGCATAGAAAATGGATGGATGGATAAATATAATGTGACTAATAACATTCCAGATAATGATACTAGAAATAATAATAATGCAGTTTCTGTAAAGTGCTTTCAGAAGTGTTGTACATATAAAACTTTGGAAAGACACAAAGGATATTACTTCCAGTTCCACCAACAAAAGATCTGTACTGTTTTGCACATGTGAGACAGGACAGGACCGCTGGAGTTTATTTACTTTTGTTATCCGAGGTATTGTTCCACCAGAGTTGACTGTAAAACTTTTCATTTCCCTATTTTATAGTGAGGCAATTCACAAGGTGATGATAAGATTTATGAGATGCTTATTATGAACCTTCCTGCATAATCCAGTAGAGTGGAGGATTGATGGTCTGTGTTTCACCTGAATGCTGAGCTCTAATTCGGCCTCTGCCGAATTTTATATACAAATTTCTTGGATTGTGGGCCTCTCTTTCTGTCTTTTACCACAATTTTTAGTTGGTGTCCGTCGCCACAGTATTTTACAGACACCACTTTGTCTTTGTAATACTGGAAACGGATGACATCTACAACTCTGCATCAAGTTTGGTGTTTAGTTTATTATCTTCCCAAATCTGGACACTCCATAGATTTGGGATCTGTGAACATGGAGATTGCATGTGTTGTGGTAAAGAAATTGTGGCATCTTAACAGTTTTTTCTTTCTTATTTGACCAAAAGAAACAAACTGAGCAGAAACGAAAATATGTTTTTGGAGCTCCATGATTTACAGGAAAAATGAATAAAGGGAATATAAGTTCAGCAACAATGAAAGTTGCAGCAAAGTCTCGTCAGATGTACAATGCAGGGTGGGAAAAACTTCACGCTATGTGCTCGGAACACAGACCACCGTACATTCCCGACCTCCTATCACAAGCTCTCTTCCTTTCTCCCTCTCTCTCACACACACATACATACATACACACATGGGAGCAAACATCTAAAAACAAACATGAATGGGATCATGTGAGAAATGAAGTTTATTTTTCCGTTTCTTTCTCCAGAGTCTTGAACTGTCCCCTGGACTCTCACCTGTGGACCTGCAGGCAACTTCTTAAGATGTGCTCAGGTGTCACTGTCTCTCACATGCACAATGTGTTTCAGAGGAGTGTGCAGGTTGAGGAGCTGCTGAGGAGTGAAGAGGGCTATCAGCACATTCCTTCTTCACTGACTGGACTGACCGCCGAACAGTGGTGAGCCTTTGAATAATCTTACTCAAACTTAATAGTTCTAATTTTAATAGTCAAGCTATTAGAAATGAGAAAAAATATCCAATTACATCTGATGAAGCTTATGGAAACATTTGTTTAGCGTGCTGTAAATTGTTGTCCTTTTTTCAGTCACTTGCTTTCAGAAAGGACCCCACATTTCCCAAGTATTTTTTACTGGTTGTTTAAAGTTACCCATGATAAATATCTATTTGATCATTTAAAAAAAATACCTAGCATCGTCTATCTAAGGTTTTCTCATATAGAATTGCTTACGAGAGCTGACGGATGTTTTTTACAGCATGCAGCACTGGCATACTTCTGAGTCATAGCAACTAAGTGTCAAAGAGACGGCAGCGGTAGTTAAAAGACACCTTTTAGTACCGAAAGATGACAATTAAAAGCTGTGGACCCAGTTCATAACTGTTAAAGTAGGAAAATCTGGGTACATTAAAAAAAAGGATTCGTTCCAAATGTCAGTTGGATATTGGAAATACCCAAAACTCAGTTGCTATAGAGTATTTTTCAAAATGACTAAATTCTGAATGTAAGCAGAGGCTTTTGTCTTCTGTGTTTTGTATTATGTAATCATGGGGTCCTTTTCTTTCATTTCAGTGCGACATGACTAGTGAAGTCATAAAACATTATATGCCAATGGATCTCATGATTGTAAAAAAGATTTGTCATTATTGATATTATCTAGATTTGACATAATGTCTGTTTTAAAGGATTTACTTGTGTGGAGCAGAAAGATGCACCGACGTTGTTCAACATAATCATAAAAGATCATAATGGTGAGGCATGATCAGTAAACTTCAGTAAAATGTTTAAGAAGCATCAGAACTTTTAGATCTATATTACTAGTATGCAGTACATGCTGCCATGCATCCATCCATCCTTTTTGTTTTTTGCAAACCAACTTATTCCCACTAAGGTCACAGGGGATGCTGGCGTTAACCAGTCATCATTGGGTGAGGGACAGGGCATATCTTAGACAGGTCGCCATGTAGTTTTGCACCTAGATCAATCAGTAAATCAGTGATTTTTTAGAGTTTGCAATTAACTCTGGGTGTGTAACTCACTCTGACAGATCCACCTGTTGTCTTTTTCTGCCAGAAACTACAGGCCAGAGGCATCAAATTGAAATAATGGAGAAACAGTCCGCCAACGGGCCATCCACACAGGGCTTTGTCCCTGCCGACTACGCCGTCTTTGCTGCCATGTTGTCAATTTCGATGGCAATAGGGCTTTTCCAAGCCCTGAAGGGGAGACAGAGGCATGCCAGCCCAGACGATTTCTTCACAGGGGGAAGGAGCATGCCAGCTGTGCCTGTTGGGCTGTCACTTTGTGCCAGTTTTATGTCAGCAGTCCAGGTTCTTGGGGTTCCCTCCGAAGGATTCCGTTATGGCTTTAAATTCCTCTACATGTGCCTCGGGCAAAGCATCAACTCAGCGCTGACAGCGTACCTGTTCCTGCCAGTTTTCTTTCAACTAGGTATCACCAGCACAAATCAGGTGACAACAAGCCTCCTGTTATTACACGGACTGAGCTAAAGGATTCATATTTCTTCATTCTCAAGAGGTTTTTTAACATATATGTGATCAAGAGAATGCAATTATTGTCTGTTCAAAGTAATCTACAACTACTCACGTCACTGATTATAATGCAAGGGAAGTTGGCTGTCGGATATATTCCTTTGAAACTTTTTTAGACTTTAACTATGGTCACTGCCATGTGTCAAATAAAACATGTTTTATGAAGATTTTAGAGATGATATCAGCACTGTTGGCTTGATTTCCTCTAACAGCTAAGTTAAATGCAGTATAGTATTAGTATTTACAAGAACAATATTATTGTAATATTTTTTGAGGACTGAAGATTTGAAGTGGCTGTAGATTGGAAGGTTTCATGAAAAAAAGATGAAGAATACAGACTCGTAACATGACGTTGTAGACATAGCAACAGGAGAGCTCCTGAAACACACCTGTGGATTATCAAACACAGTAAATGAAGTGAAGAAGGATGAGAGACGTATGCACAGAATTTTTTTGAAGTTCTCCGGCCATCTGCCTTCCACAGTATCTGAAGATGAGATTTGGCAGAGGGATGCAGCTGTTGGGCTGTATCCAGTTTGTTGTTGCAACGGTAAGACTGACATCATTTTAATTCAAAGTTAATGATATCACGCTTCTCAAAGAGAATATTATACTGCCAAAACTCAATGCAAAGGTTTTCAATGGCCCTTTTTCACTTCCCTAAGGCTTATGCGTGTGATCTGTTTTTGTTTGTGTGTGATATTTCCTCAGCTGCTTTACACGGGGATTGTCATCTACGCACCAGCCTTGATTCTCAACCAGGGTAAGGGCAGGTTATTCTTCTCTGTCTGGAGAAAATATTGGGATGGTTTTATTTCTCTATTTTGGTTGCTTTGTTTTCAAAGTCTTGGTCTTACACACATATATATTTCAATGTGTATATTCACTGAACATATATCTCTCAAAGGACCTGCTAAAATAAAAACACAGTGTGGTAGATATTGTTCAAACACTTTCCAAAACTATTTTAGAGCTCAAAGTGTCAAATGAAAATGCTTTCCTGTTCACCCTAAAAAAAACCCCATTGCTTTTGCAGCCACTGGACTCAACATGTGGGTGTCTCTGTTTTCAACTGGGATCATCTGCACCATGTACACTACACTGGTAGGAGGATGCTTTTCATATTATGTTAGACTAGAACAGGAAGTGAGATGGCTGTTCCGATAGGACTGAGTCATTATAAGATAGAGTGATTTCCCGTTTTTTAAAAGTTTTTTGGGAGGGTTATTTCCTTGTTACTTGTTCCTCGTTTTTCTAATTTCACTTTCAAACTTTTGAACACATACAATAACATTTGGGAAATCTTTCAACAACTTTGCCCTATACACATTTATTGAGGCACAAGAAGGCAAAGTAAAATATAAGAAATAATTAGAGTTAGGCAATTCATCTACAAAATAGTGCAGAAATGACAAAAGAGGGTGCATAAGATTTTATATAGAAAGCACATCAAAGATGTGAAAACCAAGTCCATTGTTTTCCTCAAATTTCACCTAAATAGGTCAAAGCATTAAACATAAAACACTCTTGTGCTGATGTTGCAGGTATTATATCTCAAAGGTTTAGGAAGTCTATTCAAGTTAGTTACAAAAAAAAAAATGGTCATAATTCACTAATATATTATCTTGTGAAAGAATTAAATGATAATAGGATGGCATTTTATGATCGTTTAACTTCCTTATTCAGCACCAACCATCATGGGCAAAAGTGAAATTGGCCTTTTTTCCCCCCAAACCTTCCTGTCTCTGTTTTTTCCATCATTTGTGCACAGGGTGGCATGAAGGCTGTGATCTGGACCGACGTGTTCCAAATCTTGGTGATGTTGTCGGGCTTTGTGGCGGTGTTTGTTCACGGCACAGTTCTGGTTGGCGGTCCTGGACGAGTCCTGGAGATTGCAAACAATGGCTCTCGTATCAACTTTGATGAGTATGTGCCTTCACAACTCAAATAATACCTGAACATTGGAGGCAGGGGTTTCGATGTAGCCCAGTTTAAAGAGAGATTCAAAAGTTGCAAAAGACATCTCAATGAAATTTATGCTATGTGTGGAAATAACTACATGGGCCTGTGCAATGGGGAGCAGTATAAAAACTGATTGTGACTTTCTTCCACAGTTTTGACATTGACCCACGGAAGCGCTACACCTTCTGGAGCCTTTCTGTTGGAGGTACCTTGGTTTGGTTGTCCATGTATGGGGTAAACCAAGCTCAAGTCCAGCGCTACATCTCCTGCAGATCGGAGCGGGCAGCCCAGTTGTAAGTCGAGACCCGCATGTCACTTCTATCAGCACTGCACATTAAGCTTGTTTTGTATCAGTACTTAACTGCATGAAAGTTTTGATTATGAATTCAGTATTTTGAGTTTAAGATGGTTCGTTGACACTGACATGATTTGTGTGCAGTGGGAGTGTGTTTGTTGTTCTAATAAGAGAGGTCACATCTGCCGGAGTTATTGGTGGGAGATATGACCCCTCATGCTGTGCATGTTTATGCTGTGAATGAATGAGTGCCAAGACAAAATAGCATCAGCTGCATCAAGCTCCTTTGTTGTCGCTCAGTTTTGCTCCACTGCCAACATTGTGATCTTGTGTAATCTTCCCCCTGGGCTGTTTGGCTGCATGCTGTTTCCCCATTTTTGGGTTTTGAGATATCTGACCACCATCTAACTTACCAAAATCTAAAATCAATTCAACAGAATTATGAAACATTGCTTTTGAAATTCTCAGCTTCCCATTTATGAAGATGGAGGATGAAGGTGAAAGGTGCTCTGAACAAGATAAATGTGATGATACAACAAGTTTAGCCTAAAGTCTGAGCAATCAGGGTCACAAAGAAGGGCTATGCATGAGTGAATCACTGCGACGAAAAAAGCACAAACAAACTTGACCATGTTGGCTTTTAATTGCAGGGCTTTGTTGGTGAACCAGGTGGGTCTTTGCGTCATTGTCTGCAGTGCAGCTACCTGCGGCATCGTCATGTTTGCATATTACAACGACTGTGACCCTCTAAAGTCTGGAAGGATTTCTACTCCAGATCTGGTATGCAGATTACTCCAGACATAGAGTCCTGGCAGCGCTAGATTGAAATGGTCAATTTGAAAGTCACTTTCACTTAAGACATTTCCCCCCCAGGTCATTGTTTGTGCTCTCTGTTTTGTGATGTTTGTTTTGCATTGGCAGTTTGATGTCAACCAAAAAAGTATTTGTTTTTTGACCACTTCAATCTGTCTTCTTATCCAAATAAGTATATGCCGTTCTTCGTGTTGGATATATTCAAAAATCACCCAGGATTTCCAGGTCTTTTCCTTGCCTGTGCATACAGTGGAACTCTGAGGTACTTGCTTCCTACAGCCTCTTCACCGTTCACTTAAGTCTTAGCAGAATGCGGGGAACAGGTTGTGAAACTTAACTGCATACACAAACTGACTTTTGAGGATAAACTGGAGTAACTTGTTTATTACTCGTATTACTCGTTTATTACTTGTTTACTCGTTTAATTTTCATCACTTAATAACTCAGATGTCAATGATCCATAAACCACAATCTGGTAAAGCATTAGCTCAGGCAATAAATTTAACTTTGGAGTAAAAAGTGTTTAAATATTTGATGCCGTTGGCTCTGTATTTGTTGGAGGATCACATTTCATTCTAACCAAAATTTAGGATGAGTACACATAAATCTTATATTTCCTTGGTTTGAAGTTGATATTTGAACTCTCTGTCTCTTTTAGTGACTCTAATAGTCAGAAATAATTCAGGACTGAATCACGTTTTAATGTAGAAGATCAAGATGAGGAATCACGAGTTACCAAGTGTTATTTCTTTTTTATTTCCTAGCATTTTTCTAACAACAGTGTCATTTCTATCAGCACGGCTTCGACAAGCATCAATGCCATGGCTGCAGTTACAATGGAGGATCTGCTGAGACCCCATATTCACATGTCCCAAAAAAAAAAGATCCTTGTTTCCAGAGGACTGTGTAAGATGGTCATCACTTTTTACAGAATATCATTTTAAAGGATTTTGTATTCCTAAATATCATTTTCTGAAAATATATTGTAAACTAGCATGTCAATTATATCCTTATATTTCCTATCAATCAGAGGTACATCTGAATTAGCATTCCTGGACTGAATTGTGGTATATAGAGATGTTTTGGTGACTATTTTTTGATTAAGCATTCCTGTATGGAGCTGGTTGCATCACCGTGGCTGCTCTCTCCTCCCTCTTGGACTGGGGAGTTCTTCAGGTAGGACATTTGTAGGTGATTCAAGTTCAGTTCTCATGTTTGTTATAATGCAGAAACACAAGTGCTTTTAAAGGGAGATTAAATAAGCTGTCAGAGCTATAACCTGAATATACACTGCACAAAACTGTGTCTGCAGCACCAACCAGATGCTCATATTTCACTTTTGTGTTTTATTTAGTGAAAATCTAAGGTTTTGCAGTTATATAACCTTATTAATTATAGTTATATTTTTGGTTTCTGACAATGGTTTAATTGTTCTCTTGAGTTATTCAGACATTCAGGTTTGACGCTTGTCTTCCTGCTACAGGGTTCTTTTACTGTCATGGGTGTGGTCAGTGGGCCATTACTGGGTGTATTCATTTTGGGAATGTTTGTCCCAGCAACAAACAAGCTGGTGAGTAAGTGGTGATCCAGTCATGCCTAAAAATCTTTGGAACGTTTGATACACAAACCGTAAATTATTAGAAAATGGGATAATTGTTGAAATAATGTCTCAAACTAAATGACATAACAAACATTGTACAGCATTACAGCAGTTCACATTATGACTTCATTGTCATAATACCTCATGTCATTCTGTGGAAACAAGGGAAGAAACACTAATCGAACATGCCCCAGTTCACTATTGTTTAATTGTCTTATGAAAGCAAATTTTCAATGAAAACATTTTCCATGTTTCTGCCCAAATGTGGAAAGAATAATAATTTTCTCCCCATAGAGTTAATTTAACTTTGTGATATATATCGACGAAGCAGACATGGTTGAATGCATTTTTGCAAGTAGTGTGAAGTTTACTTTCCTATGCTCTGGAGACTGCTCTTGTTTGTTTTCATTACATTTCGTCTTGTTCCTGATAAAACAGTATGTAGTGTCAAGCCAGATAGTGTCAAGAAAGGTAAACAGTGATTTGAACTGTCATACAACTCATCCAACCACATTTTTTGCAGATGAGGTCACACAAATGTCAGAAACACTGATAAAACAAGTGCATTTTCAGATGATGGTTCAAGACAAGTCTTCATCAGCATCAACTGATACTTTCTTTGCCCATCTTGCAGGGGGCATTCTCTGGGTTATTAGTGGGCTATGGTGTCTCCCTATGGCTGGCTGTGGGTTCAAGTCTTTATCCACCCAGTGAGGAGACTATGGGTGTCTTGCCCAGCTTCACAGGAAGTTGTGAACCTTCTAACGTCACCCTGAGCAGCAGCTTGCACCAAGAACAACACTCAGTCTCCACTCCGCTTCACTCCAACGACCAAAGGTCAGTGAGTTCACTTTTCAAATAAAAACTGACCAAACCAAAGCCCGAATAAGTTGCTGCAGTTGAGGTTTTGGTTATAGTTATCTCTAGGCTTCGATGTCTGAGGGATCTCCTTTGCCTATTTCACTCAACCCTAATATTGCTTCAGAAATATGTATCTGAAATGTATGCATTGTGGAACTAAGTTAATTATCTTCTTTATTGTTTATTTAGTGTTAGGATTTTATCAAGTTTTGATCAAGTGAGCCCAAACTTTATTCAGAGAAACTAAAAAAAAAAAAAACACTAATACCCTATTGTTTCCAATAAAATAGCGGCATCCAAAACTTCTACTCCATGTCTTACCTCTACTTCGGAGCCATAGCCACTAGCTCGGTCATTCTCACCGGGCTTATTGTGAGCTACGCAACAGGTAAAAACTTAAAAGGAGCTAAAGACTAAGACAGCATAACGAGTTAAGTGAGTACTGATTTACAATAACCCATCTCTCTCTGCATGTCTGCTTTAATAAAACAACAACACTCAGTTACACTGTAGGTCATGAAGCTGCAACAAAGCAATGAAGTAATAATGTGCTTCGGCTTCACTTTTTTGATGCTGTATATGAGTGTCTCGACAAGTTCTTTGGTTTTTCTTTTATCACAGGTCCAACCAAAAGGAGTGAAATCAAAGAGGGTTTGCTGTGGTGGGACCTGAATAAAAAGGAAGTGGAAGGCCCACCTGAACTTGGAGTGAGTATGTTATCATAAGCTTAGGACTTCCAAACATGTCTTGTGTTGAGGCACGCCTTTAAAATATGCAGAACAAAAATTAAACTGGAAGACGTCAATCAAAATCTAACCCACACTAACACTTTAGTTTTCTTTTTCTTTTGTCTGTGTTAACAGACATATTGTAAACATTGCCTTATGCATTGATTGTCTTTATGTTATTACTGCTTCTGCTCTTTTGGTTGGGTGCAAAGTGCATTTTGCTGCCTGTACTTGTGACATGTGCAATGACGAGTTGAATGTAATCTAATCCATTCTAATCTAATGTGTTCTTTTGCTTGTGTTGACGTATCACCGGAGACAATTACGTGATGTAACTTAGAAAGATTTTCGATTGCAGTGGAGTTATTTAGTGCAACTTTCCATTTAAATACAGAGTTGTGGTTGCTCCACAGTCTAATGAAATACAGGTCCCATGAATCTCTGACATGTCATGAATTTAATGTAATTAAGTCTTTCAAATTTGCTGTCTGTGTTTGCCCTAAGACAAGCACAATGGCCAAAATGTTCCCCTGCCTTCGGGAAAATACAGAATACTGCGATGCAGCTCAAATGCCCGTGCACCCGAGAAGTAATAACCAGGTAAAGACACCTAGTGAATAAAATGAGCACTGACCCCTTGATTTTAGCCTGCCACTAATATTTGAAGTGAGAGGAGGAGGAGGAGGATTAAAAATGATCAGTGTTTAAATCTGTTTTAAATCCATTATTCTGGTCTTTCTCACAGGGAGATGAAGTATCAGATAAACCGCAGAGGGTGCCCTTGATGAGCCTTCACCAGGAAAACAAGCAGTGAATAAAGATGAATAAATAAAAGACTATGTGAATATCTAACTCTAGTGTTTAAACGTTAGTAGCCCATTAAACCCACCGGGCTAATTCTTCCTTGAGTTAAACATTTTAAACAGACTTGTTTTATCACTTTGACTTTTTTGGTTTTATAATGAAGTTTCCCAGACATTTGTGTTCATTAAAATATTTTTTGGCACGCTGAAAGGCCCTGTCATCTCTTTCTTGGCTCCAGGTCAAGGAACTGACTTGTGCCAAATTGTTTGTTGGTAGGTTAAACGAGGTAACAACTGGCACTACAGGCTTTCCCACTGTGCTACAGCACACACAGGACTCGAAACGGCAACCCCTGCAGATTTTGTGGTTTGTACTGACATCTGGTGACAGATGACGGTGGGACCACGACAACACACGCATCCATCATGGCTGCCAGACACACTGAGAAAAAAAAAACAAAAAAAACACAAAAGCATTTCAGATTCGCGGGGGGGTCATTTATTGCATTTCTCGTAATCATTCACCCACTCTGAAAAACACGGGTAAAAATAACATTTCCACACAATTAATCTCCTGGCCTGGACTGTTAAGACTTAACAGTGCTGTCTTTAATGTTGAGACGTCGTGCTTCCGTGCAGTGCACGCGGGTCCTGAACGCATCAGCCGTTCCCGGGCAGCAGCAGCTGCTGCTCGGCCCGGTGATTCACCACTCATCCGCGGCCCTGTTCGAGTCCTCGTCGGCAACAGCGCAGTCCAGGCGCTGAACGCCGGGGAGCGCCAGATCCCTTTCGTTAAGCTTTTCCAGAAACGAGGATAGCAGCCTTTTGTTCAAATGGTCGGTCAGCGTTCTTTCCTCTTTGACTCGCTCCTTAGCCGTATTCGTCTCCACTTCCTCCGCCTCGGTGTCCATGTCGAGCTGCTGAGGGGCCGGCTGCTCGTTCAAGGACAAGCCGTTCGACTGCTCGCCCCCCTCGGACTCCTGCGCCGTCCTGCTGGAAGCGTCCGCCCCGGATTCGGTCTCCATTCTTGATATTAAGGAAGTCTGTAGGGCGACATTTTCCAGCTCTTTCAAGCGTTTACTGTGGAGGCCGCAGGCGGAAGGCTCATTGTCCGCCGGGCTGCCGTTTTGAGGGGGCTCACCGGTTTGCTCCATCATGCTCTGCGTCAGGGAAGAGGTTTATATTTCCTATAGAATAGTGGCAATGCGGAACAAGAGGTGTCGCCGCCCTGCGGCCAACAACGGCACTGCACCTAAATCCGCTAAATTAAGCACAATATGCATTCAATGTCCTGTAAGGAAACAGATGTATCTTAGTATCCATTTCTAAATGTCCCGTTCAATTCTAGGTTATAGTATAAGATAAAGTATATACTAAGATATATGCATGTTATCTTGTAGGAGACCTGTAATTTGATTAAACGAATTCCTCATTTCATGAAGAGCTGGCTTGCATTGCTTCTATTGTTAAACTTAGTTACTAGGACTAATTCCTACTTTATTTAACAATAATTTGTAAAACTCTTGTTTAATTTTACCAGAACTCTATAATTGGAATATTTGATTAAGAAATAAGTGGAGGAGGGATAAAAAGAGGTCAGAAAAAAGGGATTTGCTCAGTGGAAAAATAAGAATGGCCATGTGTAAACAGTTAATGTATGGTTGCACCTTATCTTTTTGGAAATTAGAGAATGTATTTCTTCCGCAAACAAATGTGTTTGGAAAATGACTTATTGTTATACCACAAATGCTGAAAGAATGTAAAAAAAATATGTTTTTAATCCAAATAAATTCAACAAACTGTTAAGCCACACAATCGCCTTTGAAAAGTTTTTGCCCCAACTCCTGCAGTGTTTAAATATACAAGTATGCATAACTATTCATTGATGCTGTTGATTTTCTTTCAATTTGATTTTGTAATGTCAATAAACAGCTTCCCACAGTTTTTACGGGAAAGAGAGAAAGAAAAAAAGTTGACCTGATGATTTTTGGCTATCTCTAGTTTCCGTAGTTCGCAATCTGTTTCCATAGGGATCGTCTATGGTGGAGGACAATGATGAACCTAGCTTGGCTATATTGGGAACAGGTAAAATCAATAAACCTCCTCTTCAAGTCAAGTAACTGTGCTGTTAAAAATATTATTATTTGGAAAGGTTAGCTAACCGTTAGCAACCAACTTTCCAAGTCGTTATCCTTTTTCTTGAATTCAGCTAGCAAGCTACCAGTAAGCTTGTGTTATCACTGCTATGCTTACGAAAACAATCCACCGGTCCCTCAAACGCTTGCTGTTTCAATTTAACGTTTCCATTTAAATATTCCTAAACAACAATTAACGTTTCTCTTTTAGGCTGGCGATAGAGTAATACAGCAAGGAGACGCTCCCTGTTTTACAAAGCGTACGAAGCTCCATCTGTTGCTATAGATAATAGTCCATAGAGATGTATCACAGAATACATGTACTCTAACGACTCATGATCACTGTTTCTGTGTGTGGGATCTTCAAGGAACAGTGAAGGAAGAACAAATGTACGTCCGGCAGTCGTTTTTCTACAGATCAAAATGTCTTTCCGAGATTTAAGAGGTATGTGTTGCCAGTTATCTTCCTCACATTTTTTTGCTGCTTATGTAACTCGAGTGTAACTGAAGTTATTTCTTATTTGACAGATTTCACAGAAATGATGAGGACCTTGGGCTATCCTCGCTTGATATCTATGGAGAATTTCAGAACTCCTAATTTTGCTCTTGTAGCAGAAATCCTAATATGGCTTGTGAAAAGGTATGCTTTTAAAATGAACATGCTAAGTGAAAGTAGTTATTTCAAATGTGTTTGATTTGAATTTATATATCGATCCACCAAATCTATGTTTTTTCTGCTAATTTTGATCTGAATATACATGAAAATCATGTGGGTATAATTTTCCTCATGTACATCACCCAGATATGAGCCTCAGGTTGATATTCCCACTGATGTGGACACAGAGTCAGACAGAATATTCTTCATCAAGGCTGTGGCTCAGTTCATGGTAACCCTCAGTCTAAATTTCAAGATTCTGCTCTTTTATTGATTGCAGACAGCCTGCTGTTAATCTGCCCAAATTATTGTCTCACCTGGTTTTAGGTAACAAAGGCCCACATAAAACTGAACACCAAGCGCCTCTATCAGGCAGACGGCTATGCAGTAAAAGAGATGCTGAAAATCACCTCAGTGCTGTACAGTGCTATGAAAACCAAACAGATGGCTCTGGAAGACACAGCGGAGGAGGAAAACAACAAGTTCAAGTTTGACCTCGGCTCCAGGGTGAGATTATTATATTTTTTTACAATGTGCCTAATGTTTTGTAAAAATTACTTTGTAATAGTTTTCAAATTGTTAAGCTTTCATCTGTAAGGAGTTTGATTAAGGTCCATTACTTCTGATCAGCGTCTCATGTCTTCCTTGTAGATATCAGATCTTAAGACAGCTCGTCAGTTGGCATCTGAGGTCACGTCCAAAGGAGCGTCTCTGTATGATTTATTGGGGAAAGAGGTAGAGCTAAGGGTGAGGAAAAAACACATATTCCAGGATTTCTTGGCTTTAAGCAGCACAGTATTAATTTTGTTCAAAGAAGAGAGAATTATCTTAATTTTAGTATTGGCAATTATTTTTATATATTTTTTTTTATCAACTACAAAATGTCTTAAAATGCCTCTATGCCTCATGTTATTTTCAGCTCTTAACTGTGATGCTTAGTAAGCAGGGCATGGGGTTACTTTGGGTATTCTTGACTTGATAGACTTGATAGACATGCAGCCTACGTGAAAATACATAATTGAGAGTGATAATATTGCAGTTTTTGTCAATTCTACTCTCAGGAAATGAGAACTGCAGCCATTGCTCGGCCTCTGGAGATTAATGAGGCTGAAAAGGCTCTGAGAGCTGCCATCAGGGAAGTTTTGGTCTGTATCCATCCTGATTGATTTTATTCATTTTTCCCAGTTTGCTATGGTTTTGTCTGGGATGTTGAGCGTTTTAAATGCTGAATTGGCTGTCGTCTGTTTCCATTTCAGGAAAGCGTGGAAAAGACGAAAGAAATGCTGAGTAATGTTGTTTCTGATGAGAACAGTCTGGATAGCAAGATAGATAAGAAGAAACAGGATCTGGAAAGGCATCAGAAGAGACTCCAGACCTTGCAGAGTGTCAGGTGAATTTCTGACCAGGCAGGAAGCAAAGATTAAAATCAGAAGAGTTATTAAATTCCTACTCATGAGACATGAAATAAAAGAAGTGTTCTTTTTTATTTTTCAAAAATGACAACCCTAAACGTGTCTGCTAAGAATGTTGGCAAATTGGGCTTTTGGTTTCCCTCACAATCTCCCAGGCCTGCTTTCATGGATGAATATGAGAAGATAGAAGAGGACCTGCAGAAGCAGTATGATATTTATGTGGAGAAGTTCAGGAACCTCAGCTTCCTGGAGTCTCAGCTGGATGAATACCACAGACTGGAACAAGAAAGGTTTGAGGTGTGTGTCCTGAATATGTCAACTTGTTTTGTTTTACTAACATGGAATTACAGTTGTTAGAATAATAAGATATGCATAATATATTTCAGAAAACCAGTAGTTATACTTCCACATATTTTCCACTCATCCAACAAAACATCTGGTCACAATGAGAGATTCTGATTAGAGTTGCGCACATGATGAACGTCCCTCTTGTCTTATGTAAGAAATTCTTCTGAAACGTCTTACAAAGAGAAATGTGAGAGATGAATTCAGAGGCAACTGTTAATCCTGTGGCTAAAAGAGTGGACATGGATCTGAAGAGTGAAACCTCTGGTTTATTGCATTTACCATAACTTGGGATGTCTTCTGTACAGGAAGCTGAAAATACTCTGAGGATGATGCAGCATAAGCTGAGAGAGGAGGAGAGAGAACTGATGAAGGGATCCTGTGAGATGAGCCAACGCACCAACACTAAAAACAAGACTTCAAAGCGTGATACTCGTACTGTTCATTGACCCAAACATTTGCTCCATCTGTGCCTTGCAGTGAAAGACGAGGACTCTGACTTGGACGTTCCTGAGGACGAAGGCTCAGACAGCGATCTTGAAGAGTCCCGGCCTTCTAAACCCCGACCTAAAAGAAACGGCCTCATGGCAGGTATGCAGACAGGCTGTAGCAATATAGTAGCTCACCTCCCACCTGATTTGAGAGAAAGACTTTCCCTTTGGCAAACCTGCCGTAGGGGATTTTTTACAATGTGGTCAGACACTAAATTAAAAACACTGTGGTATTTTGTCCTGCTCTGTTTTTGATGTAATTTATGTTAAACTTGGCCTTTAAAAGTAGATGGTTTGACATATAGATATATAATTTCATATGAAAATAGAATATTTCTTTTTCTTCTAACAAGGGAGAGGAGCACGTTTCATTGGCAACATGCAAGGTGATGACAGTGATGAGGTCAGTAATGTGTCCTTCTTTTCTTTTGTTCCTCTTTTTATGTGCTGTAACAAAGACATTGTTTTTTTATGTTGATCTTGTCCATGTTGTCTTTCACCTACTGTATAATCTGTGTCAGACAGCTATGGTACATTACAACATTCACCACTAATGAGTTTCTCACTCTTCCTGATCTCCAACTTATCTTTGCATTTGCTGTGTCTTTGTCATTGTCATTCACTCATATTTAATAAGGCTCTTTTAGCAGTACCCAGAAGGTCAGTCCCTCATTCCAAAAAACGACGGAAAGGAAAGGTTTGTGTCGGACAAGAATGTAGTTCCCTCTGTTTTTTCCTTCGTTGTGTACTTGAAGGAAAAATCCACTCTTAAATTCTCATAGGAAAGGAATGGACCAGAGGCAGATGTTAAAATATGGGCTGGGATTTTTAACGGGTACTCAGAGAATACACGCTTGTTTTCATCAGCAGGTATATGCCGTGAACCTCACATCCAGCATGTTAGGATCCAATAAGAGAGCAAAACAGATTATAGAGGAAGGGAAAACTGCCTGGCCCTTTGACCAGTATAATGTCTGAACAATGATTCAGGTTATTTTCCAGTCTGTGTTTAGAGTGGATTTTTCCTTTAAATTAGGAAAATACAGTGTTTTTATTACAAAAAATAAATAATTAAGTGGTTAGATTGCCCTGTCTGATTGAAGTAGTTATGATTAACTGGGTCTGTGATTAGTCAGAAAGACATATTGCCTATTGTTGTTCAGTCAGTGTGATGATTAGTTAGTTAGTCATTAAACTGGGCTTTTCAAAATACATCAGATCAGCATTTTTGTCTTTTTTGTTTCAGACTGAAGACAGTGAGATTGATGTGGATGAAGATGATGAAGAGGAAGAGGGGGAGGAGGAAGAAAGCAAGGATTTGGAAGATGATAGTTTGGAGGGTCCTTTGTCCAGGAGTACTCGTCCCTCTCGAGGTGGTATGAAGCCCCCTCTGATGGAGGAAAGTGACAATGACTTTTGACGAAAAGACATACAAAAATGTTAATGACAGATCTATTTTTCAGCTCACATTAAACCATTTAATTCTATATTAAAATTTTTCATTTCATTAAAATTCTATATTATGATTATAAATTGTCATTATAGCTGAAGTTTTTGAGTGTTTGTACACAATTTATCTGAATAAAATGTACATTTAATATGTTTTGTGTGTTTTTATTCTCTGGTATGACAGCTGCATAAAATTATTTTAGTTTCTGTGGTAAATCAGTCATATATCTAGAAAATATTTTATGACATGTACCCAGCATTTCAAGGAAAATTCTGATACTTTAAAGTTTTTCTAATGATATGAATGTTATTTTTAGCATTGTAAACATTACACATGAAAAGCTTGAAATGACTCAGTGGCATTGATCCCAAAAGGAAATTATTACAGAAATGACCTCATGATCAGCAGTGGCAGTCTGTTTCAACCACAGAATAACTTACTGCAAGAGACTCTCATATATTTAGTGTTTTGAATATAGAATATTTCAAGCATCAACTCATTATATCAATTTTAATATTCAGGATCTTTTAGATGATCAGATCCTATCATTTTGAAACCCTTTTTTATAAACCTATATATAGTTTAACCTATATATATTTTATGGGAAAATAGTAATAATTACACAAATACCAATGTGTATTGATATATTACTGCTTATTAAGTATTTTTGTCAATATTAATTGTAATTGTTCCTCAGCAAATGTAAAAGTAGAGCAGCCTGTAATGTGTTGTTTTTATAATTGAAGTTATTTATCACACTTTTCAGGAAAATGAAATGTACGTTTGTTTAATTTGAACTATATTTAAAAAAAAAAATAGAAACATCCTGATTACGTCATCTCTGTGCGCGCTGAATTTGGAGGGGAGGTGGCGAAAGCCTCTTCGAAACAACAGTAAACTGTCGTTTACTTACTATTTGGTTGTCCTCTCATACTGGTATGAAAGAAATTATTTGACTTTGGCAGTTGTGCATTGTGATGACTATCTGTTTAATTAGATAAATCGCATGGGAAGCAGCTGGTGCTTTGACGAACAAACCGCAGGTTTATCATGCGAGAAGAAACTAGCTAATGCTAACTAGCTACTCTTCACAGGTTTTTTTTTTATAACAAACATAGAATTTATTGCTTTTTTGTTGCACATTTTTTAAAGTAATGTGCTTATTGCAGTGTACTGTTGTTATTAATTGTAATAGATAAACATGTATATTGTGTTTGGTCCTTATTTACGCTGTATGTATGTTTTTTGTTAAGTTTACTATTCAGATTCATGTCTTTACACAGCCCTTCATGAGATACTGACTTTGCATCATCACATTGATACTGCGTCTTGAACAAGATGCGTTATCCTTTAGCAAAATTAAGTGGCAAGTTGTTAATGTGAGGGGGAATAGTTTAATTGCGCACATAATAGCTTTTGTTGGTCGGTCTGTTTTATTTTTTTGTATTGTTTCATTGTCTACCCAAGCTAAATAGCAGCTGTTAGGATGCCAAAGAAGTTTCAGGGGGAAAACTCGAAGTCGGCCACCGCCAAAGCTCGCAAGGCTGAGGCTAAGGCGGTGGCGGATGCCCGCAAAAAGCAGGAGGAAGAGGATGCCCTGTGGCAGGAAACTGATAAACATGTGCTCAAAAAGGAGCAGAGAAAGGTGAGTTGTCTCCCTATCCAAAAGACGTGTTCTAATGTATGTGCTAATTCATCCATACTGGTGTTTGCATAAATATTCCCTTTTCAAAGTGTGTAAATGGAAAACCAAAATATACCAAAATTGGCATATTAGAATAGATACTCAGGTTTATGAATTTCAGATTTTGATACTGAGAGAATCCCATTGTTGTGTCTCCCTTTAAAATAAACTTTAACATAATGCTTAAGTTCAAGTAATGTGTATCCATTTTTTGCTGCAGAGAACCTAACTTATTTTTTTTTACATTATCTAGTGTGTTCACGGTGTAGGTTTTTAATATTTCTTATTTCACAATGTCTGTTACAGATATAAGCCAATATGGATCTATATCCTTAGTTATTTTAGACCACAGATGTAGTGAGTCACAGATGTCATGAAACAATTTTCTCTTGCTGCAGGATGACAAAGAGAAAAGAAGGTTGGAACTTCTTGAGAGGAAAAAGGAAAACCAGCGGCTTTTGGATGAGGAGAATGCAAGGATTAGAGGAAAAATGCTGAGGGAGGCTGCAGCTGCTGGAAAAGTGACTCGTGCCCAGATTGAGGAGACACTGAAGAATGACCAGCTGCAAGAGGAGGACATCAAGCCAAAAGGTAAAAGTTCAGGTTGAAAAATATGACAATGGTGTGTCTATATTTCAGCATCAAACCAAGGATCTGTTTCTTACCATGATAACAGCCATCCCATGTAAGATGTAAAATTCCTCCCACAGAAAAAAGCCACTTGGAGACTCCACTGGAAGAGAACATCAACAGAGTTATTGCGGAAGAAGGGGCAGTGGAAGCCAGAACAATAGAGGATGCAATTGCTGTGCTCAGGTACCAGCTATGTGTGGCTCCTGTTGTCACTGGGTTCACAAGAGTTAGCAGGTCTTGGTTGCTGACACTGTCTCCCTTTCACTCAGCACTGGGCCTGAAGACCTGGACCGTCACCCAGAGCGGAGGATGAAAGCAGCGTTTTCCGTCTACGAGGAAGTGAACATGCCTCGCCTAAAAAAGGAGAATCCCAATATGAGGTTGTCGCAGTTGAAGCAGCAGTTGAAGAAGGAGTGGGCTAAATCACCAGAGAACCCCTTAAACCAACGCTTTGCCACTTACAACACAAAGTGAATTGGCTCCTTCTCCTCTCACATTGAAAACTCGCTGCATATACGCCTTGGAGACCTTGTTGCGAAATGTAATTATTCCTTTCAGAAATGAGTTTTGCAGATGAGAACTTCATCATAAAGCACCACATTAACAATCTCTTTTGTGCCAGAGGACTCAACTCCGTTGTTCCATTCACAAGAAAGGAGGCTCTTATTTTCTCCTATTGATTTAACAACTGATAATCTCTGCACATGGCCTCACCATCTAATACATCAAGTTGCATTTTTTTGGTTTTTTAGCACTTCATGGAAGATGGGGGATGCCAGATGTTTTGAGAATAAATTATTAAAGTTCACCACTCAGTCTTCAACATGTGTTGCTTTTGTCTGATGTTCCAGCTGCTTCTTTTTGCAAATTTAATTCAGTAAAGGAGATCGGGGGGGGGGGGGGGTTATAAAATGAAATGATTTTCTTTTTGTACACACCACAGAATTTTGAAGATACATGGCCTAGAGATTCAATACACAAAAGGAAAATGCAGATTTTGGGAAAAGTGGACTGTTTCCAGTTTGGAGACACACATTTATGACGTTCAAATCTTGCTTATTCCCCCAAAAGAAAAAGAAAAAACACAGACAACCTATTCAAACTGATGCAGTAAGCATGTTCTAAATGTTTCTTTGCTAATTTGGAGCCTTTAGCTTTAGTTCCCAAAGTCATATGTGCTGTTTGAAGAGAAAACAGCTGTGGAAATAGAGAAAAAACAAACCTAAATCAGTTTCTAAAATCGTGGGATGCAGGGCAGCAGCAGGTGACAAAGGTTTTCTCTAGTGCAGCAACATTCAAATACTGGGCTGCTGATGCAGCAAGCTGCAGGCTTTACCCGTTTGTCTGAGGCAACACACACCAGACGTGGCAGAGGCTGCCTATAAACAACAAAAAAATATCTGGAAAATGGGATTTAACTGCATAAACCTGAAAGTAACAGTTAGGACAATGTGGTTAACACTTTCTGAAAAGAAGCAGGGTAAACAGAATATCATGTTCTTCAATCTGAAAATCAAAGCAACAAAGTTTGTTAGTATTTGAAAGAGAACAACACCACCTTGTATGAACTGTGTGGATGCACTCATTCTTTAAAAATAATTGAAAAAACGTGTGTTTTTTTAGGTGTTTTTCCTACAGTGGTGGCTAAATTGCCTCTGCAGTTGCATTTGTTAGATCTTCCGGGACACGGCTGATGAGGCCTTGCACCCACTGGATTGATTCATTCAGCTGGGTTTAAAAATGGACACTTTTGTCCTGCGGGCTCTTGAGGCAGATGAGATAAGAGAGTGTGCAAAGGCCTTTGAACCACAAAGCCTCAATGACTCAAGTTCAACTGACCTTTTATATTCCACTTTGCACTGAATGCTATTAATTCCTTTATTTTCCCCTGCAACCTGCCCATCCATTCCCATTTCACAGCTTTGTCTTTGAGCTCTTACGTGTGATGTTCCGCCTTTACAGTCGGGTTGATGTTACAGGTTTTTTTTTTTCTCTTTCTTGCATCGCAGCCCGCACCCTCCCACTCCCTTCCATTTGCATGGCAACCCTTCACCAGCCAGCTGCTGCTGCCCATTTCTTTCTTGATGTTGAATTCTAATCATTACTTTCAAAGGAGAAGGTCTCTAAAGCTCCTTTATCAATTGTTGGTTCTGGGAGGAGGCAAGCCGCTGTCCAACACCCACTCAGACTTTTTAAGACATCTCCCACAAGGTACACGGTCGGTCTGCGTCCTGCTTCTTTTCGTTTGGACTCAAAAAAGCATTTTTTGAAGAAGGTAAGGTTTACCTGTGGTGGCTTGGATTAGGTCTCAAATCTTTATTCCCCAAAAAACTTAATAGATTAATTAGAGAAGATATAATCTGAAAACAAAATAACTATTTTTGAAATCATAGTCTGTTCATCGTGTTCTATTTAGTCTCATTTAGTCCAGAAAACAATTGTCGTCTCACTTTTTGACATCTTGGCTGCATCTAAAGATGATGACCAGATTTTGTTTCAAATATTTGTCAAGCGAGTTAAATCTGTTTCCTATTATTTTTATCAGAAACATCTAAAAGCAAGAGAGCTTCAGATTTTCCCAAGTTTGGTTCTTTTTCTGTCCATGTAAGATAGAAGGTTGCTGGGTTAAGACTTCACCTTGACATCACACTATTGTGGATTCAATATGACGGTTTTGTCTCTTCTATGTAAGTTAAGTATTTTGTGAAAACGATCAGTGTTATTCTCTCTGCCTTTCGGTGAAGTGAACAAACATAAGAGAGGGAAGCACATCTGCGTTTGACAGTGTTTCATTTGAACAACCTCCTGAAAACGCAGCCTGAGATTAAACAAAGATTGCTCTTGAAATGGCGACCTCTTTGATTGAATAACTGCCTCATTTGTTAAGGAAAATAATATCTGTTAGGCTGGTTGTATGTTTTATTTAATGATATCAGGAATTTCATAAGATAATGCAATTCCAAACTAGCATGTTTTTTTTCTTTGTATTTTGTGACATTCAATTGTGAACGTTCTTTAGAGGTGGGAATAATGTGACACTTTTATGAGAATTATCTAGCTGCATTAATTTTGTAGTTAGTTATTCATTAGGCAACAGCATCAAGTTAATAATAGAAAACATAACAGAAGTATGATATTTGATAAAAGAGAACATAGTTCATTTTTGAAAATTCACAAGCTATCAAAATGAATTAGTATTCCAATTTAACAAATGTTGCTATAGTTGTGTGTTTTTTGCAGTGATGTGTAGGGTTAGCTGCTTGATTTTATTGTTTGATTAGATTTTCATGCACTTTTCATGGAAAAAATGTTTCTGTGATGTCTTTTAAGCCTTAAAGTGATGCCATGAGGTTGATTCTGGTTAAACCCACCAATGCAACGAGACGGCTTGACTCAACAGGCGAAGTTCTTCACGATGAGGGCCATGAACATTGCAACTCTGGGAGTCCTAAGGAGAAGCAGGCTCCGTACTCTGGAACCTCAGCTGAAACATCTTCATCTCCTCAGGAGAAGAGTCAGTGTTTGTCTCCGTCTTCGTTCTATGGGAGGACTAATGGAATCAGTCCCCCAAGAGGATCGGCACAGATGTCTCCTCTGAAAAGCCAAAACCTCACCCTGTCCCAGCTGAGTGATCAGGATTGGCTGCTGCTCTGCGGCCAGGTCAGCAGCATAGGAGATGACCGGAAGGCAGGGGCCAGCGTGGGACCTCCAAACCACAGAGACAGATGTGGCTGCCCTCATCCGGACGCTCTCCAGCTCACAGAGGCCTCCAGCTTCCAACCGCAGTCAAAGCAGAGCACGGTTCAAGACGGTCTCTCCAGAGTATCAAATAAGAGAAGTCTTTCATCCCTTCATACTCACCCTCTCTCTCTAAACACCCAAGTGTCAGCCAACTGCCAGGTTTTAGCACATCAGGCAAATGAAGGAGATCTTCAGAAACTCACAACACGCCACCCAAAGGATAGCGCGGCTCCCTGCTTTGACAAAGACGGGCAAAAAGAACAGCTTTTCAGTCATTTAAAGCTCAAAGAGGGCAGCAAAGCAACTCGTCTAAATCTGTTCAACATTCCCCCGAACGCCATCGAGTGCGTCAACACAAACAAGAAACTTCAGTCTCATCCTGCAGTCAGCGCAGACGTCAGCTGGAGAGAGCTGTTTTGTAAAGAACCACTCCAAATGGACTCCAAGAAATCCACGTCTGATGACCACGCTGGTAAATCGTCCTGGGATCCATCCTCCGTTTTCAAGTGCCGTCACGTCCCTTACAGCCGCCCGCCCGCCACGCAGTGGGCAAACAGGTCGTCCACGCCTTTCAGCCAGAGGAGCCTGAGGTCTTTCTCCACCAGCCAGTGTAGCTCACTGGAGAACCAGGAGTTGGTGGAGGAGAGAACAAAACAGCAGCATTCCCAGGTGCGTTACTTCTATCATGTGCTCCAACTCCTGAAAGTTGCTGTTTCAAGTTTGAGCGAGAGTTTGCATTTTTATCTTTTCTTGCTCGAAATGTGACATCAGAGTAAAGAAAAGGATGATTTGAAAGCTGCTCAAAATGATGGTTTTAAAAATGTGTTCGAATAAATTAACGACAAATCATTTCAGTTAAATATTAATGCATCTTTTGCATATTCATCCACAGGGAATCTGAGATTAAGGCTACAACTATTGCCCTGTTAATGTATCATCTCTGTATCAACAAACACGCTGCTGTCTGTGGGATCGCATGACCCGTGCTGACCGTCTTACCTCTTTTTGCAGCTAAACTCTCAGCATCTCGGTGGATCCAAACGTTGTCCTCCGCTTCCCAACACCTCAGATACTGGCAACACACTAAACGGGGACGCAGTGCAGCCACTCAGCAGCCAGGGCACTTTGCGATCCAGTCTTTCAGAGCTTCCATCGGTCCAGCAGCCCTTGCAGCTCCTTCACAGTACCATCCTCGAAGATGCCTTCTCCAAAGTCATCAGAGAAGACTCCAGTAAAGCCAACAGTCAGAGCCCAATTGGAGCAGAGGATACCGTACCACAGAAGAAGACCAAGGACATAAGCTACCGCCTGGGTCAGAGGAGAGCTCTCTTTGGGAAACGCAAACAGCTGAGTGATTATGCTTTAGTCTGTGGGATGTTTGGCATTATCGCCATGGTCGTCGAGACAGAGCTATCAAAGACAGTTTACAACAAGGTACAGCTGAAAGATGCTGTTTTTCATTTGTAAAGTAAAAGGTGAAGTCTGGAACACTCATGTTTCACATTTTCTCCTCCATTATGTACAGGAATCCATGTATTCATTTGTGCTTAAAGGCCTAATCAGTATTTCTACAGTCATGCTTCTTGGACTCGTTCTGATGTACCATGCAAGAGAAATCCAGGTACAAATGTGACAAACTTAGTTTTTATTTTCCATTTTTGTAAAAATCAAACCCATAACCAGACAAAGCTTTGGAATTTTTATGTCAATTATAATCTTTGTAGGTTGTCATTGGCTTTAGTGTCAATTATCGAACAAAAGGATGACATAAATTCCTGATACCTTCTTCAGGCTTCTTCTGTCTTAAATTTTATGATAATCTTTGACCGCAGTAAGAAATCAGGTTGGTTAAAGATAACCTTTGCTTTAAAACATAGGAATAAATAATCCTAAAGTTTCGTTTTTTACACACAGGGACAGAACATAACTACACTATAATATAATGACATATAACATAAAAAATATATAACAACATATAATAATGATAACACAATACACTATACTTCTCATTTGATAGTAAATTCACACAAATCAATTAGTTGATTTAATCTTGATAAATATATTTTGTATTTGCTTGGTTGTGTAGTCTTTGAATTAGAAGAGAACATCAAATTCCTAAAACTTGTGTTTCTCTTATTTTTCAGCTCTTCATGGTGGACAATGGGGCAGATGACTGGAGAATAGCCATGAACCTTGAACGGATCCTCTTCATTGTGCTGGAGCTTGTGGTTTGTGCCATCCATCCAATCCCAGGCCAGTATATGTTCACCTGGACGACACGACTGGCCTTCAGCTACTCGGCCTCGGTCGCAGATGCTGATGTCGACATCATCCTCTCCGTGCCAATGTTCCTGCGGCTGTACCTGATTGGGCGCGTCATGCTGCTCCACAGCAAGCTGTTCACAGACACCTCCTCCCGCAGCATCGGGGCGCTCAACAAGATCAACTTTGACACACGTTTTGTCATGAAGACTCTGATGACCATCTGCCCTGGCACGGTCCTGCTCGTCTTCAGTGTGTCCTGTTGGATTATAGCCGCGTGGACTGTCCGCGTGTGTGAGAGGTATTTACACAATACCTCTCAATGGCTTTAGGAATGCGTTAAAGAAAAAAGACACGTCGTCTTTTATTAAAGAATTTTCTCTAGTCAGCTTTTTTATTTTATTTGAACATCAACTGCTGCTACAGCCGGGTGTCCTGTCTCAACAGGTATCATGACGCACAGGAAGTAACGAGCACCTTCCTTGGAGCAATGTGGCTCATCTCCATCACTTTCCTGTCCATTGGTTACGGGGACATGGTCCCTCACACCTACTGTGGAAAAGGGGTTTGCTTACTAACAGGAATAATGGTGAGAATGAAGATAGTACATCATAATCAGACATTTACAAATGGCTTATTAACAAAGTCTTGTACATAAATGAATAAATCTATGAATAAAAAAAATGATATGAAATGTTTCAGATTTTACAGATGCTAACGTCTGATCCTCTTCTCCTCAGGGAGCAGGTTGTACAGCTCTAGTGGTTGCTGTTGTTGCAAGGAAGTCCGAGCTCACCAGAGCCGAAAAACACGTCCATAACTTTATGATGGACACCCAACTCTACAAAAAGGTCTTTTGATTCACAGAAATAATTATAAATTGGCAGTAAACTTTCTATGTAGGCAATAGGCTTCATTTCTGCATCCACAGTGCTCAGTTTAAGGTTTTTATTTTTATTTTGGTGTCAGCTTTAAAAAAAATAAATTCATTAAAACTATTAATTTTGCCATTATTTGACCTCCTCAGATAAAAAACACGGCAGCAAATGTACTGAGGGAGACATGGCTCATCTACAAAAACACCAAACTGGTCAAAAAGCCCGACTATGCCCGCATACGTCACCATCAGCGTAAATTCCTGCAAGCCATCCACCAGTAGGTGTTAACAATCCTGCAATTTCCCCTTTCAGTAAATGTTACAATTTATGGGTGATGAGGTGATGGGTGATGACAGCCAAGCTGTCCACTGCTTTTATTTCATTTGAGACTAAGATGACTGTGCTTTTGTTTTTATACTTTAGACTGCGAAGAGTCAAAATGGAGCAGAGAAAATTAACTGACCAGGCCAATACAGTTACTGATCTTGCCAAGGTTTGTATATGCGAGACGTTTAAAAGCAACTACAGTAAATGTATATTTAAACTTGATTTATCAATTAAACTTATCCAGAGAAGATTCTTATTACTTTTATGAATTGTTCTTGATGATCACTATGTTGATTTTATAAAAATACCCTTTTTGTGCACTGCTTTGATGTTTTGGACCTTTTAAGGTCACATTAACTGAGACTCATTGTCCAAAATAACCCATTAAATTTTAAACAAGTCGCCTAAGGGCTTAAAGTAATGATACAAAAAAAAGCTATCAAATTAGTATTAAATGATAGCTTTCTTCAGCATTAGCCATGGCTACATCTTTGTATAATTTGGCACAGGGAAGTGTAATTTGAAAATGTAAATGGTGGACAACTGAGTTATTGTATTTTCAGAGCATCTGTCAAAATCATTATTATTATTTTTATTCAAGTAAATTATTATTATTATTTCATTATTAAAGTAAAATTATCTTAACAGCTTGGAGGACAGGGGTCCACATATCTTTTCAGTCTGATGATTCTTGGAAACAACCACAACATGTCGGTGGTTGTGATGTATCTGTGTTGCTTTCCAGACTCAGAACATGATATACGATCTGGTGTCAGAGCTGCAACATCGAAGCGGCGAACTGGACAGACGGGTCGCTGTTCTGGAGGAGAAACTGGACTCGATGATACTTGGTGTGCAGTCACTGCCTGTTCTGCTCTCTCAGGCTATAACAAAGCTACAAAAAGATTTCTTGGATGACCTGGCCTGCCATGTTCACTTCCTGTCATCCTCCCAGAGCTCTGAGTGCTGTTCAGTGCCTGGAAAGCAGATGCGCACAGGATTCTCCACACTGGAGACGCCGCACAGCTGATAGACCTCTCTCAGTGCTTTTCACCTCAGCATGCAACTTCTTGCATGCTGGGAAATACTTTTCAAACATGGACTCTGTCTGTGGTAACTTCTTTGTACACATCACAGCCACAGTAATTCAGTGGACAACTCCAGCCTGAGGGGTAATTCTAGTCCCCTTACTCAGGGTTTTATAGATTGTGCAGGGAATGGATTGTCACAGCTTTGATAACCAACAGGGTTCCGCCCAATCAATACAGGTCGGTTGAAGAGTTTACTATGGCTGATCCTAAGGCAGACACTTTCTCTAGTGTAAGTGTAGAGCATAAATCAGAAAAAAAAGACTTTTGGAAAGCTATTAAGCAGCAAGGAAGACCAGTCTAATAAAAAAATGGATGGCATCTGAGATATTTTCTGGAAACAGCTCTGAAGCTTCAGAGACAAAACGTATGAGCAAGACAATTAAGATATTATTTGATCATATTTATATATAAGATATTTCAACCAAAAATAATGTATCTGTCATTGAGAGTGTATGATGAGGAAATTGTCCACTTAGTTGAACTGTTTTTGTCATGTCATAAATAAAATATAGTTAAGAAACATTGATAGCAAGCTCCTATTGGAGCAACACTGAAATGTAGCTATTAAACACACCCAAGAATATATTTGGAGACCAAAAACTCTGTCAAACACGAACCTTTTTTTAATACTTACCAGTTGGTTCAGGTGTAACCACAGAAATAAAATAAAATTCTCCCAATCACGGTATTAAATAGCGGTAGACTATACATGACACACTAGACAAACCAAAAACTTAAATTGTTTATTGAGCTGTGCCAGTGGTACCTGTTTTACTCATACCAAATCCCACTAAAACCAACATCTGGTAGCAAATGCAAGAGACTTTAAAGAGGTTCTCGAAATATACTGGGAGGAGCAGCTCTTACTAATGATGGTTGTATCAGTGTCACAGAAGAGGTCTCGTAATCCGAAGGTTAACAATGCCATGAAATCTAATGAGAAAGCCAACACGTGCTTGAGGGTTGAGTTGGGCCTGGCAGTACGGGGCTCTTTGCATATGTGAAGCAGTGCAAATTTCCACAAACAGCAAGAGAGACGGTTCAAAACGGCAACCAACGTTGTGGAGTTTACTTCTTTTTCAACATACTGCGTTGTTGCGTTAACTTTGATTATCTTTACTAGCAACATGCTCTTTGATGGCAAAGTCAAGGAAGTTGAGAACAAGCCTGTCTGTCTTTGAAATCTTTTTTTACAAACTCAATCAGAGCAATAATAGTGAAGACTTAGATGTGATTTCCTTTAGACTTGAAATTGGCTGGTTGTCTTATATCTGCCGAGGACTTCTTGGTAGTATATTGCTGCTACTTGTAACTTGTCGTTTTGTTAGACCTAGATTCTGTTGAAGTAGGTGCAAATGTGCTTTGTTGTTGGGATGGCCTTACAATGGGCCACCCATTGTAAGGTTGGGGGCTCAGCCCCTGGGGAAGGCAATAAACACTTTCTTTCAACCCAGACAAGTATGAGTGCTGGTGTTTTGCATGTGTATGTGTGTGTTAATAGCCTGTAGTGAAGTGTATTGATTGTAGACTGTTACATTAGTTTTGCTTTGGTTTTAACTGGAATACTGAAACTTTATCGTATTTATTTCAGTTTGTATCTCATAGAGCAATTAGAAAAAATGTGTTTCTTTTAATTGATGTATACTTTTATTCTATTGCTAGAATATTGTACTTTATTTTACAGAGGAACCTCCATAAAATGTTTAGATATCTGATAATAAACAATACCATCTTGAAAATTATGTATGTTTGTTTATGGTCAAAACTGGGGTCATGTGTAATACAGATATGACTCATGATCCAATATGTTTAGCAATAAACAGTCTAGATGTAAAACAGTGACCGTCCAAATATTTTCTCTAATTAAAAGTTCAACACCACTGAATCTAGTTTCCACAACAAAATTACCATAAAGAAATCACAAATAATGTCAATAATCAGTGAAAAAATAATCTCACAAAATCTTTTGTTGCCCTGGGTGGGTGTCCAGTTTACTGAAAACAAAAAGACTCGCTCAGTTTTCCTGACACCAAGATGCCGGTTCACATTTTCTGTTTCACTTATCACTGTCTCTTTAACTTTGAGCTACCACAAAACCGAGGTCGATGGAATTACACACAATTGTAATTCAATTCTATTTATGAACACAATAAGTTTGAGGAAGGAGGATATTTCAAAATCCAAGTCACGTGGTTGACATATCTGAGACGTAATAAATAGTTCCAGCCCTTCCAGTGAGGTTGTTTACGAGAGCCACCATCTGTCTCTCCGGGTTACCGCCTGTCTTGTGCGTTCCAAGATCTCGCGATGAATATTCGTCGGCGAGTTCAACCCACGAGTTGGCCGTTTCGCGCGCTGAAGCTAAGCTCCAGTCATTGTTCAGATTGACAGCTCTATTATCCAATGAACTTGATACGTTCGGAAGGAAGAAACCAATGGTTTGGCAGGACTTTTAGAGCGGGCGGGATATTAAAGTCTTGAAGAATAACTCATTGATCAATCTCCACCAAGACCTAGAGTTGGTCCGTTGTAACCATCCAAAGAACTAACTCAAGGAAAACGAGTACACAACTCCTTAGACGTTATTTTTTGTTTTCATTTGGACGAACAAACAGGTAAAACAGTTTTTCCAACCTGTTTAGCTAACTTTATAAATGGTATTTTTTGACATCTCCTCTCAGAAGCTAGCTTTGTTAGGTTAGCTAACTTGACAAAGTCCTATCTGATTTTACATCTGTTTGAACTTTGCCTTCAATTGTCTTGGTATCAAACTGGAAAACGTTAAACTGAAATTATTCGAGACTGGCGCTTTGGCTTTCGTTTTGCTCTACTTTTATCTTCAAGGAAATACGTCTTTTAAAAACCTCTATCAATAAATTGTAATGTGGTTTTCTGTACACATTGGTTTGGATGGACGCTGTAATTGTCAATTACGAGCTTTCTTGTGTTGTGTACTGCTTCATAATTTACACTAAATGCTTAAGTCTGCTAGCTTCGCCTCCGCACTGCTTCCCATGGAGAAAAACAAGTACGCTCACATAAGATTGGTAATTTTCCTGTACGTTCGTTTAGGCTTGCAATGAATTGGCTAATGTTTTTTTTCTTTTTTGCTCTCTTAAACGCAATAAAATGGTGAACCTAGTCAATTGTATCATAGGTGGGAGGATATACGCATATATAAATGTTCTTATAATGTTTTCTTTTCTGCCGTCGGTGCGTTTCGAGCCACTAGAGGAACAAGACCTCAGCTGAGAGCGCAAAAGTAAAAACCAAGCAGTCGCCAAGCTCTCCTTTAACAACTTTGTCTTAAGCATGATCATCTTTAGCGACTGTATCACATTGCAATTATAATAATCGACTCCACTGTGAACGTGATTCAGTATTTTTGCTTTTACTGTCATAAAGCGAAGGCACATTGTTTGCTAGCCGTCCCTCGCGTCCGGATGTGCTTTTAAAAGAACTGGGAGTGGCCTCCAGCTCAGTTTCCCGCACTGTATTTAAATCTGTCTGTTCCCTCCCTTTCTGATTTTCTGATGAAGTGACAGCCCACGACCAACAGCTGCACAATACGGTACACTGAGCAGGAAGATCAATACAAATGATCACTGTACAGATAAAGTAAACGCTTTTGTAGTTGCTGACTCGGATTGAGAAGGAAAATGACTTGCTGGGGATGAAAAGCATAAGCAAGAAGACAAAATTTTATTTTTACCTTGAGGATCTCAGCTGTGCACACAAATTGTGTATGGTCATTTTTACATTCATGCACACAATTAGCTAAGGAAATGGGTATGCTTCACTTGCCAAATTACTTTAAGAAGTATTGGACTGTATTGTCATTCCCTGGCAATGTGCCACATCAAAATATCTGGTTAGACAGAACAATTGTGTGAAGTTGTTTTCCATAAAAGTCATTGGTGAATTTTACTTTAGTATGTGATCTGTTACATTTGCATATGCGTATCACTTGATCACACTCACTTGCTTTATAACCAGCAATTATCAGCCATTATTGGTTCTGAATCATGACTGGGACTATTTTTCTAAAGTCTTGATTACATATGTTTCTTAGTTTACCATAAGTACAGAAAACCCAGCACAACTTTTTTTTTTTGGTATTCATTAATTGTGCAGTTGAAATACAGTTGTGCTGTTCTAAATTTCATAAGGATCTCTCTGTTCAGACAAAAGAGATTCAAGTCATGCAATAAAGATGAATTGTATTAAAAATTAAATCCTTGGTGACAAACTGTTGTTGTAATTTGGGTATTGACACAGGGCAGCTGCAATGTGGATTCAGGTGCGCACAATGGATGGGAAAGAAACCCACCGGGTGGATTCCCTGTCCAAACTGACCAAGGTGGACGAGCTTCGTCTCAAAATCATGGAGCTGTTCAAAGTTGAGCCAGAGAGACAGAGACTTTTCTATCGTGGCAAGCAGGTGAGGCAATGTTTTATATTTTTTATGTTTCCTGTTTTTTTTGTTATGTCTTGGTGAGTTTAAAAGTGCAAGATTTTTTAAGAAAATGTTTTTTTGCGATTCTTTTGAATTTTTTGTTATATTTTTTACTCAAACTGCATAAAACTCATTGTGTTAAATTGATAGTATCCAAAATATTTTAGGCAGTTCAAATCAGAGATGTGGTCAATTGCAAAAACTAAATCATGAACCATTAAATTAATGGGGAAAAGACTGTTGACGTTGCTTTGCCTATGTATGTATTCATCTCCAATATCAGATGGAAGATGGCCATACCATATTCGACTATAACGTTGGCCTAAACGACATAGTGCAGCTACTTGTTAGGCAGAAGATGCCTCCTGCTGATGTCGTCAAAAGCAAGGACAAAGAGGCTGAGCTCTCAGACTCCGATTCTGGCTGTGGTTCAACCCAAAGCGAGTCTGACAAGAACTCAACTCACGGGGAAGTGGAGAGTCAGACCGCTGGAACTTCAGCCCAGACAAACACCCCAGAGCTTGTCTATCCAGGATTTGGATTTTATAAGGTATGTTGGAAATATTTTTTTCTTTATTAAATTGTGTGTATTTAGCTGGTTAACTGTAAGTGTATAGGGAAGGAGGAATTTGTACAAAAATTGTAGTATTTAAAATTCTATTAAAAAAACAACACATGTAATAGGTATGTTGAATTGAGTCAGTGCTGTGGAAGTATGCCTTTTACTGTTGGAGTCAGTCAGGTGGTTGACATTTCTCATACTTTTGTATATGTTCCATTTGTAGCTGATCCCAGGTTTTTCTTTTGAAATTGTGCAATCCTTTTTACTAATCTTCCCAATCCAGTTCAGCTTGATCTGCGTTTCTCCTCATTTTAAGCTCACAGCTGTATAACATTTTCTTAATGGCACTGTATAACTAATTTGGTGTATGGTAAGGTGAAAATTACTGTTGTGAAGATTAAGGGGGCTGAGATGCGTTTTAAATTTTTAGCAACAACAACTTCTCCATTCCACAACGGGGCACAAAATAAAAACTCTGTTCTGTGTCTGCAGATCAATGACCTGGTGGATGCCAGAGACTTAAACATGGGAGCATGGTTTGAGGCCCAGGTTGTGAATGTCACAAAGACGACAAAAACGCCCAAAGAAGCAGATGCAGAGCTAGCTGAGGAGGAGATCCTGTACCATGTCAAATATGAAGAGTAAGACTCCTGTGTTCACATTGAGAGTTTTATCATGTGAAGAAAAATTGAGTATCAAAAGATATAATTTCAGATATCTCAGTTCCATCTTTTAAGACAATGGTTGGAAAAGGATGAAATAGATGGTGATCCTTGGAAAAAAAAAGAAAAGGGTTGAAATTAAGATTTAAGAAGTATTATTATCACACGGGCAACTGATTAAATAAATCCTCGCTTAAGTATTCAACTCCAACAGTGGAAGAACAGGTTATTCTCTTCCTCACAAGGATCTTTTTTGCATTTCTTTTCATAAAAGATGTTTTTGTGTTTTAAAAGTTACAAGTTCACTAGTGCCAGAGGGACAACCATCTAAATCAGGGGTGTAATACTCCAGTCCTCAAGGGCCACTGTGCTGCAGGTTTTAGAGGTAACCCTGTTTCAACACGCCTGATTCACATCAAAGAGCCATTAGCAGACCGGTGCAAAGCTCAACAATGTCCAAAGTAGGTCCAATTCAACAATAATCAGGTGTGCAGAAGCAGGAAAAGTGTCTAAAACTTGCCGGACAGCGGCCCTCGAGGACTGGAGTTTGACACCCCATGTCTAAATGGTCCAATTGTTGCAACCTAGTGCGTTAACAGGAGCTTTTCATCATTCAGACATGTTTTTATGGCTTTTGTTTTGAAAACACTGCTGTACTGAGACCTTCTCTGATGGCATGTGACTTTTAGCTTACCTTTGAGATTAAATTTTCAAATATCAACTTGCAGTTACCCAGAGAATGGAGAGATTCAACTGCTGGCTAAAGATGTTCGCCCCCGAGCCCGTACGGTGTATCAGTGGCACCAGCTGGAGCCAGGAATGGTTGTTATGGTCAACTACAACCCGGATGACCCAAAGGAACGTGGATACTGGTATGATGCTGAAATCCAGAAGAAGAGGGAGACGCGTACCGTACGAGAGATCTACGCCAAGATCCTGCTTGGGTAAGGCCAATACACTAAGATATGGACGATATTTTGGAAGTCTCATTGTTGCTATATGGGGGTTTGTGAGGCTGCAGTAGATGAGGAGAAAAGGTTTTCCTCTTGGATTCAATGGCTAGCTGACTAAAATTATGTTTCTTCTCTATTTCTCTTTTTCTTTTTTCTCAGTGATGCTGGTGACTCTCTTAATGACTGCCGGATCATGTTCCTGACTGAGATCTACAAAATTGAGGAGCCTGGATCTTTGGCAGATGGCCCAGCTGGATCTGAGAGTCCATTAAAAAGTAGGTTCACTTTTACATTGAAGGCCTGCTTGACCTGTTTGATCTTATGAGAAATCCACTTATTAGTCATTGTGATTTTGACTTTACATTTTAAAGGTGCAGTCTGTGATTTAAAAATGAATAAATAAAAAATCTGTTCTCCAGGATCAAATGGACCCGAGTGCAAGCATTGTAAAGATGATCCCGAAAAAAACTGTCGCTTGTGTAACTGCCACATCTGTGGCATCAAGCAAGATCCTGACAAACAGCTGCTGTGTGACGAGTGTGACATGGCGTTTCACACCTACTGTCTGAATCCTCCTCTTACCTCCATTCCCGAAGATGAGGACTGGTCAGTTGATTCAGAGCTACATGTAGCTGGTATTCTCACTTGATAAGATGTCAGTGTTAACAACTTTTTTGTTTTAATGCTTAGGTATTGCCCAGGATGCCGTAATGACGCAAGTGAGGTTGTGCTGGCCGGAGAGAAGCTGAAGGAGAGCAAGAAAAAAGCCAAGATGGCTTCTGCAAGTTCATCTAGCCAGAGAGACTGGGGCAAGGTTGGACAAACATTTCTTATACGAGCAAAAACGATTCATAAGACAGTTACCTTAAGGATGTGATCAATGGTAAATGGGGGACATGCAGTATATGTCATAGCTAAATGCCAAAGTTTTGTCATTTTACAGGGAATGGCATGTGTGGGTCGAACCAAGCAGTGCACCATTGTTCCGTCCAACCACTATGGCCCAATCCCGGGTGTTCCAGTTGGCTCCCTTTGGAAGTTCAGAGTGCAGGTCAGTCTAATTTGGGCGAACTATAAATTGTTGTAGTTTAAGATGCTCGGAATCACCAAATGCACAGGGGAAAAAACATGCAAATTTCATCCTTGAATTGGAAAATAAGTAATATAAACAACAAGTTGCAACCATTGTAGTTTAATCAAACAAACTGTTGTGCTTTATGAAATTAATATTGTTGGGGGTTTTTTCGCAGGTCAGCGAATCTGGTGTCCACAGGCCTCATGTTGCTGGAATTCATGGTAGAAGCAATGATGGAGCCTACTCTCTGGTCCTGGCTGGGGGTTATGAAGATGATGTGGTATGTTTTCTTTCTCTTATATTGGTTTGTTTTGCTTTACATGGAAATGTTATCAAAAATCAAATCAACAAAATAATGAAATTGCATCTCAAATGAAGCACACAAGTTACTTATCACCAAATGTCCAGAGTTTAAAAACATTTGAAACCAGCCTTTCTACTTTACAGGGGTTTAATTTATGATACCAAGTTCTATTCTTCTTTTTTGTGTGTGCGTGTCTGTGTGTGTGCTATCACCCTTCATCATAGGATGACGGTAATGAGTTCACCTATACTGGCTCAGGAGGCCGAGATCTGTCCGGAAACAAGAGAACTGCCGAGCAGTCATGTGACCAAACCCTTACCCACATGAACCGGTATGTCTAAAAAAAAAAAAAAAAAAGATATATTTTTTTATATGTATATTATTTTTTTGTGTTTTTGTTTTATCTGTTTTTCTAGCAACTTTTTAGCTTGCTCATTGTATGTTTTATGTCTCTTTTTTTGGGCCCATTAGAGCTCTAGCTCTCAACTGCAACGTCCCTGTCAATAATAAAAATGGAGCTGAGTCCAAGAACTGGAAGGAAGGCAAACCGGTCAGAGTTGTGCGGAGCTGCAAGGGTCGCAAGCACAGTAAATACTGTCCTGAAGAGGGGAACAGATATGATGGAATATACAAGGTATGAGGGGAAAGCCAGAAGGGTTGGAGACAAAATGTGTCAGCATGTACAAGCTGTAAGACATGGGCAAGTGTTTACTTGTATCTCACTGACCTCAGGTGGTTAAGTACTGGCCAGACAAGGGAAAATCTGGCTTCTTGGTATGGAGGTACCTGCTGAAGCGTGACGACGATGAGCCAGCGCCTTGGACCAGAGATGGCAAAGAGCGCATCAAGAAGCTTGGCATCACCATGCAGGTAAATATGAGATTCCATTTTGTGTGCGTTTGTTCTGTACCGAAAGCAGTGCGTGCAAGTGTCTGTTTGATGCAGCACACTGCATTCACATTGAAATAAAATTTAGATTGTTTATTTTGTTCTAAACTGACTGTTTTGACTCTGGCTGTAGTATCCTGCAGGCTACCAGAAAGAGAAGGAGAACAAAAACGAAGTGGAGGATGAGGCGGAGGCGACACCGAGCAAGGCAAAGAGGAAGAGAAAGAGTCAGGGCACTGGTATGTTCTCTGCAAAGTGTTGTTTATGGGTTGCGTTTTGTAGTTTCCTCAAACCACCTTGGAGCCATGCATTACTTCAGTTAGCTTTATCTGGCTGAAAGCACCACCTGTAGCATAAGGAAAAAGATACAGTTGAAAGGAGTGATGGTAATCTGTGTGCAGGTGGCTCTGATCATGTCTACCTCTGTGCCCCTCAGCCTTGTAAATGGAAAATCTTTATTCATTTCAGAAACACCCAAGACCTCGTCACCCAGGTCTAAGAAGATCAAAGTGGAAGTGTTCAAGCTTTCCCAGGAGCAGAAAGCCCTCATTAAGAATGACAAACTAAACAAGAAGCTGTGGGATGAAGCCAAGGAGTCCCTGTCACTTGGGCCGGTGAGAACAGCCGCACGTTTCCTCCGATTTATCAGAGGAGCTTAAAGCAAAATGTTTATGTTTATGCATGAATTTGGCAGACGCTTTTACACACCATAGACACAGAAGCAAGCCCTTCCCAGTTGAAGTAACAAAAGCTTTAGTAATCTTTTTTTAAAGAACGGGAAGAAATAATGATTTGCTACTCTGAAATAATTTTTCAGACTTTCAGCAGAGAACATATTGACATTGAAAGACATTTATTCATGAAAAGCTATGGTCAGTGAAACCTGTGATGTGTCAGTACTCTTTCTAAAGATGGTTAATCTTGAAAAGCTCCCCGTTTTCCCCCAATAAATAGATGTATTACTTTCCCTCCCATAGCTCTCTATATTGTGACATTGATTTATTGTGACAATGATTTATCGATAAGATGTAGATCATTTAATTAAAAATTTGGAAAGTTGTTAAAGCCTCTGATAAAGGTTTTTTTTTTTTGTTTTTTAAGACAAAACATTTTTAATGCCCAACCATCGATGGAGTATTTTTGCTATTTCAGACAAATTTGCTGTTTAATGCGTTGGAAATACTAAGAAAAGAAAAGCTTAGTTATATAAATATCTCTACTGACACCAATGCTTTTGTTTATTTTGTTCCTACAGAAATTCCTCAACAAAGTTGAAGAAGTTTTCCTCTGCATCTGCTGCCAAGAAGTGGTCTACCAGCCCATCACCACAGAGTGCCAACACAATGTGTGCCGGGTAAGAAACAATCGCCATCCCAACTTGAAGGAACATTGGTGGAGTTTGGAGAAGCTGCAAGTGGAATTTATTTATTTTAATGTTAGTGCCAATTTGGGATATTTGTGCCTCTTGTGATTTGTGATTTAAGACTGTCAGGGAAGGAGAGCAGATCTTTCTGTTGGTTAGAGATTCAGCACAAACAAGAAAAATGGGGAAGGGTTGATATGAAAGGGAAGTGAAAGGCGAGCATTGTTACTGATTAGTTTCTTATAAGAGGACACCACTCTAGAAACCCTGTCCTGTTTAGACGTGTATGAAATCAGTTGCTAACTCAACAACTTTTTATGCTCGGCATTATGGGGAAAACTAACTCGAGCATTGCCAAAAACCTCTCTTTCAGCCCGGATTTGTATGAAAAAGGACCAATAACATGTAGTTTCAATATACTAGACTTATGCATTACCCTTTTCCCTATCGATAAATTCTAGTGAAGGGGTAAATGTTTAGAGAAATCTGGTGCTTTAGATGAGAGTACTGATACGAAAGGTAAAACTGAGTTGGATCTATTTTTAATATTGATGTTTTTTCCCCTTTCATATGCTTCTCACATCTACTCTACCTCCAACAAGCATGATTGAAAATCTACCTGAGCTCCCTGATGAACAGCAATTTCCTAAATGATTTTTGTTGAGAATTGCCTTTTAAATATTTCCTTCTCTTTTTGACCTCAGGAATGCCTTCAGCGGTCTTTTAAGGCAGAGGTGTACACCTGCCCGGCCTGCAGACATGACCTGGGCAAAAACTACTCCATGTCTGTCAACAAACCTCTGCAAGACATTCTTAATCAGTTTTTCCCCGGGTACAGCAATGGGCGATGATCACTGGTGCTGCTTCCTACGATGTTGAGGATATGAGATGAAAACCACAAGGGGCATTTTCAGTAGGGACAATAAAAAAACACAAAACAAAAAAAAACATTTTTTTCTTAATATATTTCAATGATTATAAAGCTACAATATTTTTGGACTGAGATGCTCCCTTTTCCCACAATAAATCTGCCATGTTGTACTTTCAATGGAAAAATTGAGAACTGGTTTGGAACAGACTGTAACTTTACTCCATTAATGGAATCAGTCTTTCTCTCTTGTCCGTTTTTAAAAAAAACTTTTTTTTTTTTTTTTAACCCCGCTTGTTTTGTTTTAATTACTGCTAATGTTGTGTATAATTTTTAATTGTGCTTTTCTTTCGTTACATCCCTCTTTTGGCCCTCATTAAGGGAGTTTTAATCCAAAAGTAGTGATTCCGTTTCCCGTAAGTTGAGTGGAGAAGCTTTTGTAGGAGGCCGTATATGAAAGGCTATTACACGTGACCTTGATTTCTGCATTTTCATTGGTTGTGGTTGATCATTCTGATGCAATCAACAAAAAAAAAACCATTTGATAAAGTGATTGGTTTCTTTTCATTTTTTTTTTAGCAGTAGATTGCAGTTGCACTTCTGTGATTGCTTCTTAAAATGTTAACATGATCAATTCACAAGCATAAAGTAAAAAGAAGGTAAAGTTTTCCTGCAGTTCAGCACAAGAGGAAGTTTGCGAGAGGTTGTGACATCAGAATTTAGAATTCCTTGCACGTTTCTTGCTGTATTGGTCAAATGGTTAGATTTATTTTAGTCCATCAAGATTCTGAGAATATGATCACTCTTAATCTGAATTTGGTCACAAGGCACAATAGATTTTAAAAAAAAGTTTTAATCTGACAAATTGTCCTTATTTTGTATCGATTTGCATTCAAATAGTCCAAAGATATGATGGTGTTCAACCAAGACTGTAATGTAGAACTTCCATGTATCTAGCTCTATAGATTTTGTCCCTAACACTCAATCCTAATTGAGCCTAGATACTTCATTTATATCTTGATAACTTTTTGATAAAGCTTAAACATGTACTTTTGTGTTTTATAATCTATTACTGCCATGCTATGTCGGGGCCATTTTTTGTTTTTCCCAAATGTTCGCTTATAAAATTGACCTAATTTTTATAAAAAAGAAACAAATGCTTATTAAAAGCCGTTCACACACTGTCCCTGAAATATGGTAGAAAACTAAGCTGAATTAAACAAATTTTTGCCGTTACCTTTATCCGTTTATTGAATGATATTTTCTTGAAGCTCACCAGCGATGTCTCCGAATGCAAACACTTCCTGTTTTACAGTTGACAAATATTTGCATAGACTGGGAAATGTATGTATATTTTTTTGAATTGTAAAATTGTTTTAGGCCATTTTAGACTTGTGTAGGTTTAGAATGCATTGCACGTTTCATAGTGCAAAATATTGTCCATACATTTTCAGTGTTTCTCAATAAAAAAAGTTAATTGTGTATTTTGTATGTTTTATTTGGATATGGATGTTTGTGTGTTTATTTATTTGCCAGTTTTTAATATGCAAATTCGGCTGTGAACAGGGCAAAGAGAACATGATGTAAACACAATGAAATGTAGATGTTTCTTGTCTTCAGGTTGAATCCCTTCATCAATTTTTTTTTTATTTGACAGATGCATCCACATAATCCTGTCAACATGAATAAATGTAGCTGCACATTTAGAAGGTATATAAGCACTGTAGGAAACGGAAAACTTTGACAGAATGTTGGATAGGATTTTTGCTCCCGCCCAAGGTTACATATCTTTCTCTTGGTCGCTGACCATTACGCCTCTTGCCAAACTCGACAGTGTGTACGTGCTTGGCGTGTGGTAATTCCAAGCATGGAGGGGGGAAGAGCAGTTTGCGTGCAATTTCATTGGTAAATATGTTTGTCAATAGAAATATAAACCAACCAAATCGCACGCCACCTTATCAAGAGAACGCTGTCACCAGCGGTCACTACGTGTTTCAACCAATCACAACGAACGATCTATGAAGTGGGCGTAAACCCCGAGCAGCTTCATCCAGCTAATGCTAGAAGAAAATCGATACTGGGAATCTTCATTTAACGAAAGCAAATTGTTTGAGCTAAGCAGGGAGAAGACTATAATCTGCTGCAGGAGGTAATATGTCTTTAAAGAGCTCATTTCTAATGCAAAACTAGGACTGTGTTTTTTCTCTATGCTTATGTGTATTCCGTCGTCGTTGTGTTTTGTTTTTTTCTAAATGCAGCTATGGACGGAGTTAGCTTCAGACTAGCTAGGTGTTACAGGACGGCGAGCTGTAATCTTTGAATTTCAATTAACAGTTTGCACGTATATAGTACTTGGAAACTGTACCGGGAGTGATAGGCATTTTGCTTCAGGTAAGGAGCATCCGCTCGTGTTTTTATTAAGCCTGTTTTAGTTAAAAAAAAAATGTTTGGAGTAAATGTCAGCTGTCGAGGGCTAGCGTTTCCTTTAGCATCGTATTCTAATAATTTCAATTCTAACACCAGCAGAGCATGCACCGATACAGTGTAGTCTGAGCGGTTCCCGTGTAATTAGCACATGTAATGTGTATTGTTTTCTTAATTGTTGATTAAGAACATCTGCTTGCTGCAGCAATGAATCAAGTTTTAGGCCAAGATGGAGTTAAAGGGTCCATGTAGGCCCCTTTTTGTTTTGGTTTCGAGACAGCTGGTGGTCATGTGGCCCTAGAAACTAGAAACTTGGTTTAATGTATGAACATTTTCAAAGGTATGACCATTTCTTATTATTTGGGAATTTGCATGTTAGGCTGACAAACTGCTTGCTTATATCCTTATAGAGTAATTCTTGTTTTTCTTCTTTTCCTTTTTGCTCATTTTCTGTAGCCTTGATACCAGTAAAATATTATGTTAATGGAGGACTTTGTACCTTTATAAAACTTTAAATGCTGCGAGTGGTGTGTAAATGACACTTTATACAGTGTATATTTATAGATGTTTCTGTTGTCCAAGTCAAAAGGAGTAAAGTATTTCACCACCATTGTGCAATTGCAAATGTAAAGTCTGTTCATTTATCCACATGTAAAAGATGGGTGTGGACAAAGGCCTAATACCGATATTTACATATTTTATTGAAAGTCAGATGTAAAGCAGAAAGACACTCAGTACTTTATTCTGTTTTAACAGCACTATACTAGCCTTTCTTATATAAAAGCTTTGAAAGGGATGTTTGACATTAGATGTCACAAAAGACATGATAGTTTCTAATATATTTTTAGTCAGTCCTTCAATTTTTTTATATTGGCTTTATTCAAAGCAAAATCAAATTGGTTTGCATAGTAATCATTAGCTTTGGCAGGACTTTCAGCATGTGATATTACACCAACTCATTCACTTGACTGTGTGGCCAAAAGTTGTGTGCTTAAACTTTCACTATAAATTATTTTACATGTAAATGTAGCAGAATTAAAAAAAACACAATTTATGTAGAATAATCTTTTTTTTTATTGAAAAGTTTATATAATGATCATACTATGAAATTACATCTCAAGTAAACAGAGAAATACAGATGAAAATGTGTACATTTATTGTACTGACTTTGTCCTGCCTACATTATGTGTGAAGCTTATATCAAGCCGCTGGGTCCCCCGTGCTTCTCTGGTTTGAAACTCCTTGAATTTGATTAATTAATTATTTTGTGCAACTATACCCAACTTCCTTTGGTTTCTTGTATTTAAACTGCCCTTAATTTGCCCAACAGGTTTGCCTGCATCCCTTCGTGGACCTGATGGCTACCGACATGTCCATGAACACAGTGTCGGCTCCTCACCCCGCCCTGGCCTCACCCCCGCAAGCCCAGATTCCCACCCAGGAGCCGGCAATTGCTGAAACCCCTGACACTGCAGTGACTTCAGGACAAAATGATGCTCCATATCTCACCCAAGCTCAGCCTCCAAAGCCAAACGTGGCTCCAGAACTTGGTTCAGGTTCTGAACCAACTCCAGTCCCTCTGCTGATGCCCTTGCCGGCAGCCTCGGCCAAGAACCCTAGCTGCAAGATCATGACTTTCCGGCCCACTGTGGAAGAGTTTAAAGACTTTGCCAAATATATAGTCTACATGGAGAGTCAGGGAGCCCATCGTGCTGGTCTGGCAAAGGTAAACGGAGCATAAAAACTCATTTACTATGCAGATTCCCCCTTCTCAATGCATTAACAAAGGTTAAAGTCTAAAAAAAAGGTCTTGTTACATTCCTCTAAGCATTTTGAAATATGCAGTGCCACTGTCAGACTACTGCATGTAAAAGTTAAATCTCCTGTTCCATTTCCAGGTGATACCTCCGGAAGGCTGGAAGCCACGTCGGTCCTATGACACTATAGAAGAAATGGTGATTCCAGCTCCTATCATGCAAGTGGTGACTGGACAATCAGGACTGTTCACCCAGTACAACATTCAGAAGAAATCTATGACTGTTGGTGAATACCGCAAGCTTGCCAACAGCAAGAAGTAAGTTGGTCACTAATAGTAAGGCCTCATTCTGGAAAGAAATTAGCAAATATTTTTAGTTGTTTTCAAATTCTGTCTGTAATCCCTTTAAAAGAGACTTGAATTATGAGATTCATACATTCAATACTAGCATGATTGAAAACTCTTTATTGTGTTAAGTGTATGTGTACTTGATTATGAACACCACTCCTCTAAAACTTTACATCACAATTACGTGATGTAAATTGTGTTTGTGATCTTGCAAGCAGTTCCACTAGTAAGAATAATGTTTGAACAGCCAATGACACAATATCAGCCCCTTCATCTACACAGCCAGTGCAGATCAAGTGGGATCCACAATAATATTCCATTACGTTTAGTTAGACATTTAAACCAGGATAGAACTAATTTGATATCCTGAAAGGGAGTGCTGCAGAAGGTTTGTCTGGGTCTTTTTTACTCTCTTGTGCCTGTTTAAGCGAATTACTCAAATGGCATGAAACCTTTGAGATAAACTGACCCAACGGAGTCTCCTTTTTTTTAGGCTTATTTACTCAAGCAAATCAAATTGATACCATATTCCATTTTGTTCCTTTCCTTTTAAAAAAAAAAGTATTTCACTTGAAATGGAGATAGATATTTTCAGTTTTGAGGCACTCATAGTCTGTGCATTTTAAAATGTGATCCTGACACTTTGTATTCAGGATGATTCGGGAAACACAAACCCACTTACCTAACATTCATCATGAATGTAAATGCGATTCATGCTCTGTCTGCAGGTACTGCACGCCGCGTCACAAAGACTTTGATGACTTGGAGCGGAAGTACTGGAAGAACCTCACATTCGTGTCGCCCATTTATGGTGCTGATGTTAGCGGCTCCATCTATGATGAGGTGCGTTATTGATTTTCTTTTGATCCACAGTACCAGTTAAAGCTTAGACACACCTGCCCTTCCATTTTCAGTAAATATAAGTAAGTTAATACTGAATAAGTGTGCAAGCTTTAGTGAGGCTTTGGATTTTTATACATTTTTTTACTCTTCAGATTTGGTATTTTCTTTTTCATTTTGTCAAAAAATAATTGAATTGGTCTTTGGCTTGATTTGTACATGGTTTTTGGATCACATGTATATTATGACGATAATCAAAACTTTAAAACAAACTGAAATATGGGCTTGTTTTTAAAAAAACAAACTCAGGAATTATATTGTTACCATGTTTTATTATATCCTCAGCAAAATAAAGCTGCCTAAAAGTCTGCTGTTTTTTAAGTCTTGTATTCAGCCTGAGAAAAGATTCCTTCAACAGCTGGTGTAACTTTTATCAGCAGGCTGAGGGCATCAGATATTATTAGTATCAGAGGAAAGAGGCAGGTGCCATCTGGCAATACACAGCACCACCTGGTGGTCACTAGGAGACATCACCGGCAATGGCATTTCTGTGCATGATAGTCATGGCTGCGTTTTGACGAATGTCCTGTTTTCTCCAGGACATTCAAGAGTGGAACATTGGCCACCTCAACACACTCCTGGACATGGTGGAGCAAGAGTGTGGTATTGTCATTGAGGGCGTCAATACTCCGTACCTGTACTTTGGCATGTGGAAGACCACCTTTGCATGGCACACGGAGGACATGGACCTCTACAGCATCAACTATCTACACTTTGGGCAGTCCAAGTCCTGGTCAGTCATGTATTTCCTCAATGATACACACAAACACACACACACATGCGGATAAACAGATTGGCCTCAGGCCTCTCCTGAGGTTTTCTTTCTCTGGTAAAACCCTTTGTTTGGATCTTTGAAGTAAATTGATTTTGATTGTGTATTCATTATAGATATGCAAGACATTTAATACTCCCAAGATAATTATCGTATTTATCTTATTATAACTGTAGCTTAAATAGAAAATGTAACAGACCTGTATGATGAATTTTGTTATAGATGAATCATTCAAAGATGAGATAAAAGATGAATGCTTTGTTTTTTGAGAAAGTACCATCACCTTTAATCTCTTCATTTGATACAGCTATATATTTAACAATATTTCTTGTCGGATGAAGAAAGGTGTTTTCTGAGAGTCCCTGACTAATTTTCCCAGTGTTTTGGGTTAAGCAGCAGGAGAGATCCACCCACATAGATAATAATGTATGAAAACTTTAAATAGATTTATGCAATCCAATCAAAATATACTTTTTTCACATTTTCTTTACATTGCCGACTCTATCTGAAAATAATTGAGAAGAATAGCTTTTTCAGAGGCTCAGATATCGTGTCTTTAATCATGGATGAGCCCAATGTAAAAATTCCTCTTTCCCTCTGTGAATCTCAAACCGTTTGTTATCATCTTTACTGTGAAGGTAGTAGCAGAAATCAGAGCACGCTTTTTGTTTGTAAAGCATCTATTATATTTGCCTCTTCCAGAACTGGAAATCTCTACATCCTGAGGAGAAAATAACTTTCTTAAACCTTGACTTATTATTTGGATATTCATCCGAGTTTCTACTTGTATGTTGTTTTCCATCCCTGACACTGCAGGAGGGAAGCAGAGCCGATCCAGCATTCTGAATTATAGTGTAATCTCTGGCATTGTACGTTTTTTTTCTATACAGTTCTTCAGGTTTTTCTCTCACCTGTCTTCTTTTTCCTCACGATGTGGTTCCAGTCCTTCTTTGTCCACCTCCTGCTGAGGTGTAGGATCTCTGTGTTATAGCTCTCCTTCCCTTTGATTTGATCTCATTAAAATCTTTTTTCATACCACTCACTGAGAGTGGACTGCCGTTGCTAAAACTGTCAAGTTGTAAGCATGTGTCGATAAAATACCGATATACGTCTGTTCATCTCTAGCCACGCTTTGTGGAGCAAACATTCCAAAGTTTTATGAGAATCGCATCACAAACACATTACAAAAAGCATATAAACTGTTCTGTTATCGACAAAATAATTAATATTTACTTGTAAATGCTCATATTAACATTACACTTTCATAACAAACTGATTATTACTGACCAAAACTGGATAGCCCACAAATGAGTAATTACAGGCCGATATCGAAACCTATTTGAAGCTAAATCACAGAAACGTACAGAACTGTTGTTATTGTTAAAACTATGAATCCAGACAACATTTCTGTCCTACTTTTACAGAATCTTGGGCACGTTTTTGGTACAGGTGACTACAGCATCACCCCTCAGAGTGGAAACCTGGGTTTTAGCTTTCTGCTACAGCACTGGTTCGAATCATATTCAATAGAGACAGCTTTCTGTCTCTGGGTAAGAAGACATCTAGGTGAGATCTAGGCAGAGAAAAAAACCTTTTATACTGGGATAAAGACGGCAGTCCAGTCGAATGTCACCTGCCTTTTGAATGTTTCAAGAGAACATAAGCTCACTTTCGTTTGCCATAGCAAAGAAATGTAGAATAAGTTAACTTAATCTTGAATTATTTTAGGATTTGTCTTTACATCATCCCTTTTATCTGTAATGTGCACCTTTTTCCTTTCAAATGTGTTAAACAGCTCTCTTGTCTTGGATTTGCCGAGCCTTCTCGCTGAGCCTCGTCATCTCTCCTTCACTCTGCTTCTTACTCGTGAGCTCTCACGAAGCCCTCCTACGTCCTTTTTTTTCTTTACTGGAACTGAATCATTTTTACTATTATGCTGTTGCTTGATGGTGTAATTACAGATAGTTAAATAGAGCATACTCCTTTTAAAAGGCACATACATGTTCTTTGTCTTTTTCTTCCTCTCTTGTGGTGCAACCGTTTGTGAAATGGAATCTATTCCCACCACAGCTCTGCTCCCATCAAAGTCTCTCACCATAACTACCACGGCTGCTGGCTGTACGTAGGGTTGCAGCCAGTCACCTTTCATCTGTATCTTTCCATCTCTCTTCCCTGGGAAAAACTCTAAAAGCCTCTCAGTCGCCCCCTCCACTTGCATGACACAGTGCGTCTGCTGTCAGATGAGTGATTAGCCTCTGAGCATGTGAGGGGATGCCCGGGACAGACTGGCGGAAGAGAACTGAAATGGATGATTTTTAAAATTAAGGCGTAGCTGGTTTCTCCTTGAAAGTGAGGAATTTATAAAGAAAAAATCAGTTCTTAACCCGCTCTATAGTCCATCGGTTTTGAAGTGTTCCCATTTTATACCTCACAGAGGAAAGAAAGCTAGAAATCTGTATAAAAGCTGGAGTGTCACTGCAGGGTGACACTTGGTAGTGTTTTTTTCCCCTCAATTCCCACAATTGTTTTTTAGTTTTAAACCTGAAACATGTAATATGTGGTAGAGTACTGCCGGTATTTGTTTATGATTAGTACTGAAATGTTTGGAAGCAGGGAAATGTAGGTTTTCACTATGTTATTGAGCTCAGATTAGAGCTTAAATGGCTGTGCATTACAGAACAATAAGATAGAAGTTTATCAAAGCAATTATAGAAACTGTTGGTGATTCTGTGGGAGTCGCCGCGCCTGCTGCGAGGACTCTTTAATTCCACCATGGCCAGGATTCCCACCCAAATCTCTCTTCCTCCCTTTGAGAGGTGTAAAAGTTGAAGTCTTCATTTTCTGCATCTTGTTTTTTTGTGCGTTTCTCTCTCGGCTGCTGAAGTGACATGCTTTGCTGCCATGGTAACTGTTGTCTTGGAAGGAGGAAAGTGGGGACATGTTGAACGACTGATTTTTATCTAGTTTGCAACTTGGATGGAGGTGTCGTCTGATTGCTGTTCTTTGATCTGTGGTGTCAGAAATGTGTGCAAATCTATACCTGCTGCTTGTTCTGTAACCTTTTTTAAGAAATGTGGAAATATCCTACGAAATGCACTGCTCAAACCCCAGAGAAAATACTCTTTACATGTTCATTTTATTGGTACACCCTTGACATTTTAAGTCTGTCTGAGCAAAAAAAAAACTCTGACACCGACTGACATTCATCCGCCCTTCTTGGGTTTCGTTTGGTCCGAGCATGACTGTAGACACAGTTTATAATAAGGGCTGCTGTTTTGACCTGCATGGGTATTTTGAGATACTGCAGAACACAAATGTGTTCTTATAAGTGAATTCAAAGTGTAAGACACGAAAGGACTTTGATACAGCTAGCAGCTGAGAGAATAGAAATCTTAGCTTTCATTTTTAAACCGACTTTCCAGGACGGTTGCTATGGCTTGATTGGTAAAGGCAAAGTCTGAAAAGGAACACGAAGGCGAGCGACAGCTATGTAAAGACCAGGTCTGAGAGCTTGATGTGGCCATATTGGCTCAATTTGAGAATGCCTGTTGGGTGCACACAGTGTGAGGTTGTTAATGAAAACCTATAACCCAAGGTCATGTAAGATATGGAATAAATGCAAGGCATTCTGTTATCTCTGAAGGATAATGGGATCCACCAGTAATTGGAAGGTATTACTTTTTATAGTCTTTATATTACAGCCACAGGATGGCAGACTGGAACAGCGGGACTTGTTTTTTGCTCACTGCTCTGCATTGTGGTGGTCTTGTACAGGGAAAGATAACAGGGAAAGGACCCATATGAAAAATGCTCTTATTTTCTTGAAGAGATCAGCCACAACCCTTGAGATGGCAGTTTAAATTCACTACATATGAATTTGTCAAATATTTCCTCTTCTATATATCACGAACGATTTTAGTCACAATCCCTCTGACGGCTGAATGGTAGGGTACTCATGTTAAAGTAATGAAGCCCCGGAGTGGAGTGTGACTCTTTGGAGCTCTGAACTTTGGTCTACAGGTGGCAGTATGACTCCATGTCTGGTATCTCTTGGAGGGACAGACCTTTTGTTTTTTGTTTTTTATTTTTTTTAAATGTATCCTCCCTGTCATATGCTGCTGCTCATTCCTCTTCACTATCATTAATTGTTGTTGCCTGTCAATATCACTTCTGTCTTATTTTCTTCTAATTCTCAGTTTGTTTAAAACTTTCAAGTTGCTTGTCGGGAAAGGAAAAATTCTCTCTTTTTTGTTTTGTTTTGTGCGTGTTTTTTTTATTTTTATTTTTTTTTTCACGTAGAGTTCATTTCCTGATATCTCTGGAGGGTTACACAACCCAGAGGAAATAATTGCAGTAATGAAGAGTGTGTAATATCCTCACAAATGAACAGATTATAATTGAGCTCACTGACTTCCGCCCACTCTGTGTTACATGTAAATTTTCTTTCTAAATGCAGCATCTGACATTTTGGGGAGTGCTTCATATTTTACAGCGCTTACGTCGTATAACACCAGCAACAAACACATTCCTAATGTTAATACTTAGATCTGCTGCAACACAGAGCTGAGGCTACAAGGTTTTTCTGTTTGTATAGAAATGAGATGGAAGCAGAAAGGGGAGAGATATTAAATTATGCCAAGACACACAACCAGGGCTTGTTAGCATATACCTATAGATTTTCTTGATGAGAATAGTATAGATCCCAGCAACATTTACATAATTGGTGCCACCATCTTTCATGTATAGATGCGAATAGTTCTCTTGACAATGAATAAAAGAAGTTTAAGGCTGTGATGTGGGACTCGTCACAGGTTATTTATTTCTTAAACTGGTTAGAGCTGAGGAATAACCCAGCACTCCCAAAACAGTCATTTCTCTCGTTTGTGGCCTGCACCACTCATTTTCTGTTCCATCATACACTCCCCCTCTTCCTTTTGTATCATAACTTAAATCATTAATCTTAGCATTAGATTTAGTGAGCACACCTCCTGGAGTTTAATGAAGTTGTCAGCTTTTATACTAAGAATATACTCACTTATGTCTGTAATTCATATGTATTTCACCACTGCGACGATTTCTTTTTTTCCTCAAACCGCTGTAGAAATGATACAAACCCACCCTGTTTTGCAGGGTTCTTGTACTAACGCGTGACGTCTCCAGCTCTGACCGGGAGCTTGCATCCCTTACATGTCGTTTATGTTCAACAGGGATTTTTCGGCGAGTCGTAGCTATGAGTCATAACTTGTGGAAACCTCTCGACAATTTTTTTCTATTTTGCACTCCAAACTTGAATCGGTCCATGAATAAAATGTTTGGATAGTAGATTTTGAAAGAGAGAATTTAGTCATTTTACAAAGATCATACGTTTATGTTGGCTGACAAGAAAGGAAAACTGATAAAGTTTTAGAGTAGTGGACAGCCACTTGCTGTAGGTTTGCTTTCTGATGATTTCAGACTCTTGGTAATAAACCAAAATTGATTGCTCTTTCCTTTTTTTTTCTTTATTTGTAGGTATAGCGTCCCACCTGAGCACGGCAAGAGGCTGGAGAGGCTGGCACAAGGTGAGGACTTGTTTCCAATTAATGTTGTGTTTCTAGTATATTTATTGGTCATGTTTAGTTGAAGGTTGCTTTGGACCTTCTGAAATATGTTCATTAAGTGTGTCTGTCTGTAAAGTATGTCTCAGATAACATAGGTGCTGCATGTGTTGTACGAATTGAATGCAAAGAGCATTCATTGTGTCTCTTTAATGCAGGAAATTAATCAGCGTCTCTTAACTGCTGACTCTGAAGCACAGCAGAAAATGCTCTGTTTAGAGGTATACCTTCCTTTTATGCAGTTTGTGTAAGAAAGGCAGCGATCCTCACAGTAAAATGTTGGATGTACACTTTGCCACCTAATACATCTCTCACACGTGGGTGAGGAGCGTCAAAGCCGCACCTCCTCCGATAAAACTTAAAATTAGAAGTCTTTGTCACCTTGCTGCGCTGACATGGATTTTCAGAAGGAAGCGCAGCTTGTAGGACTTCATGGACGCAGTCATTCGTGCCAAACAGATAAAGCGGGTTGAAGATGATGAATTTGGAGGAGATACAGATTGAATAGAATCCAACCACATTAAAGGTCTGCATTTGCAAATGAAATGAGAAGAAAAACATTACAGTGGTAATGAAGTTCTGTGGCCGAGGTAGCCATTCAGTTACTAATGCTCAGTATAAAAATGGAAGTGTTCGCTCTCTGCATATATAACTACATCCCAGCTATCTTAGCCTGTAGTACGAACTTACTGCGTAAAGGAAAAGCTAATATTGTAAGTGGTTTTAGTTTTTCTTTAAAAGAAATACAACAGTGGGGAGAAACCCATTTTTAAAGTCATCTGTATTTTGCCAAATATATTGAATGTAGTGGGAAACAGAAAGCCATTTTACACAGACGGTGTTAGAAAACGAACATTTAATTTGTACATCTGATCAGAAATACAAAGACTCGAATGTAGGACATGATGGAATTACAGATTTTACAACCTGCTCAGCTTGTAGAAAATCTCATTACGTATCGCCATTGACATTAAAGCTTGCATCTCAAACCTCTGACAGCAGCAGCTTTTTATATTCTCTGCAAAGAGGTTTACTTCAGATTCACTAAAACATTATATGGAAACTTGAGTGTTATAAAATGAAGAACATCGAATTGTTGAGTTTTTAATTGATTGGAATAAATGAAGTGGTGAGTATGTTATTGTAAGTCAGCAACAAAGTTGACATTAAGATGTTTTCCTTTCATGTATATTACTATACATCAGATTTTCTGTCACTACAGATTTTAAATAGGATTGATGAAAATGAAGTCTTTACAGATTTGGTCAATTTAATACATGGTATAAAGATTCCATCAAATGAAATCAAACCAACTTGGAATACATTATTGTATGTCGACACTCTTATCACTTAATTACATTTTAGCCTTTCTTTCAGCTTATCCATGTAACTGGCAGTTTGGATGTATGCTGTGCCAGTACTGCTTAACAGGAACCCCCTGACCTATCAAAGCCGTCATTGGCACACACAGCCAAACGTTTAAGTTCCTAAATGAGTTCTGCAGGAACGCCAAAAGAGGCTCAGACGCTGGTCGTGTTACTTGAAAACTCCTCTCCAAAATATGACACAGCAGCAAGTCACAACCCTAATATTTCTTTATCTGTTTATTATTTTAGTAATTGGTACAGACGTTTTGTGTAGCATGGGCAAGGTGGTAGCGGAGCATGCAGGGTTGGATGCAGCAACTTAATTCTCAAACTCAAAAGGACAGAATGAAGCCTTTAAGTCAATATTACCCTGTGGAGAGCTCGGAGTGCCAGCTGCATTTTAATGGGGATTAATACCAAGGCTCTTTTGGCACATTATTCACCTTTTACTAGCTCCAACAAGCAGGCAGCCAAAGAGACCGTGGAGTCCCTCTCCCCCTTTTGCTTTGTAGGGTGGAACAGAGGCTGAAACAATGCAGTGAATGAAGGATGAAATAGGTGCTGATTATTCTGTCAGTCACATTAAAGTTTTAACTGGGTAGAGGCTTAGATGGAGCAGCCCCCTCCTCTCCCTCTCCAAGGGACTGCTGTGTACAGATGGTTAAGAGTGGAAGAATGAGTGATGAAGGAGAAATATAGTTCCTTTTGATTATACAGAGGCCATCTGAGCTGCTCTGAAAGTCTTTGTTTTAGAGCCCAAGTGGAGCTTTGAAGTCCAAAATCTCTACTATATATTGACCTCAAAGCAGTCCCGGCCTGTAAGGAACTTGGTTTGTTTTACAACCCAAAATGCGTCTTCGGAGCTACCGACACGACCTCGTCAGGCCTGACCTAAAGCGTGTCACGTTTGCACGGAACGCAGTTCGAGAGAAAACCTTTGCAGCTGCAGAATTTGTTTGTCGTGACCTTGGGGATGTGGCATCAGCAACTTTAGCAAGCAGTTGTATTATTTTGGATTAATTTCGTCGCAGTAACCATATGAGTACTATGAGCTTGTCTCAGTGTGGCTCAGTGCTGCTGCTTTTAGAATTAATAGCGTGTTTTGAATAAACAAAGCCCGTCTTCAGGCAGAGATTTCCTCTTTGGTTGCACTTCACAGAATCGCAGTTTTCTGAGATGACAGCATTCAGTTTGTATTTTGTGCTGTAGTACTCCTTTATTTTCTAATAAGGTCCATCAGATTTTTTCCCGGGGAATCCAACCAGAAGGCACACAACCGGTGCATTTACATGCACTGTGATAATACGATTATCCAACACTTAAGGCAGTGAATTAATTTATATCTGCATCAAGGGGAAACCACATTTCCTTCTGCAGGTTATAGGATTAACAGTAATGTGATAAAAACAGCTTACTTAAGCTGCTCTGTTGCCACTATCTAAATGCATTTGAATGTGCAAAGCCCATACCAAGAGCCATTCGCAGAGAAAGCAGCTGATGTCAAACTTTTGTGATGAGTGTACAAACGTTTTCCAAATTAATTCCTGTGAAATTCACTTGAAAGGCTTTCATGTTATTGATGGGTTTGCATGATGTTGGGCGTTTATCATCTTTGCTAGTTTGTTAGAATACGATTCAGCTAGCATCAGAGTCGGATCGTTCCCTGGTCATAAAATTCTGACAAATATTATAGTTGTTAACCACAGGCCAGAAAAGCTTCTCCTCAGTAATATAGTCTTTACAATCTTCCCTGCCCTGATGGAAAAATCTGAATTTGTATCTTTGACTCAATGTTTAAATAAAAAAATGTTTTTCTCTAATCATCATATGCTTCCCCCCCAGGCTTTTTCCCTGGCAGCTCCCAAGGCTGCGATGCCTTCCTCCGCCACAAGATGACGCTCATATCTCCATCCATCCTGAAAAAATACGGCATTCCCTTCGACAGAGTGAGTGGCAGCTCATCTGTACTTTCTTATCAGTCGGTGCATCAGAAATGAAAGCAACCGTCATGAAAACCAGTCGCAGCAACTTGCTAGTTAATCTGGAGCTGATGTTCCTTTTGCATTGAGGAGTTATGTAGCTGCAGCCATGACTACGATGATGAGATTTACGTGACGATATTAAATGGGAGGCAAAGTGATGTATTTTTACCTGCTGTTGTCAGCAAACGGCCTCTGTAATTCGCAGAATAGGTCTTGTTTCTGAGTGACTCAGCTTTTACGCGTGGAGCGATCATTTCTCGTCTGATTCAAAGAAATTAATTGAATCGCTTATCTTTCTCTTTTTTGTTTGTTCTGTTAGCTCAGCTCACAGTATATGTCTCCTAGGTGTGATTTAAAAAATAAAGGAAGGCACAAAAAATATGTTAGTCGCAAACAAGAGAAAAAACAGTCCCCCACCATCATCCATATTAAACCCTAACATCCCTCCTCCTCAGGACATCCTTATCACAGGGAACATGTTCATACACCTATCTCGTCTTTCTTGATTTTTTTTTTTTTTTTGGGGGGGGGGGTAAAAATAAAGCTTCTTGCCAGAGTGCAGGGAGACGTTTGATCTCTGAACGATTGCTTGTAGTTGTGGTAGTTCATCTGCTGCTTTCATTCCCTACTTCCTATAAAGCTGCCTCTTCTCTTGATCTATGCTTCACAAAGAAGCTGAGATCCACAGTTATACGTATTGGGTTAAAGCTTTTGGGGCAGCGGCCACAAAAGAGTGTGAGAAGAACGTGCTTCCTGTCACTCTCCAACTTTCCCAGCTTATGGGAAGGCGCTGAACGCTGGGCACACAGCAGTCATGTCGTGTCACAGTCAAACGACTGGGAAATATTTCAGAGCAACTTTTCCTTAAAACCTAATTAGCAGCTGCTGTTTTCAGAGCTTTTGGTGATCACAAAACTGTGAGAAATAATGGATTCCTGATTGTCTTCTACTTTAGGACGTATACAGTGCTAATCTTCCTCAGCTGTGGTTGTGCTTTTTTTTTTTTTACTTGATACTATTTCTCTTTGGTATGTCCACAGATAACTCAGAATGAAGGAGAGTTCATGGTCACGTTCCCCTATGGCTACCATGCCGGCTTCAACCACGGCTTCAACTGTGCAGAGTCCACAAACTTTGCCACGCTGCGCTGGGTGGACTATGGCAAGAATGCAACACTGGTGAGATGAGACGAACTTAAATCCTTAGCTGCAATTCCAAAAGGTGCAACAAGAAAAAAATGATGGGGAAATGGCCATTTTGCTAATCTGATGGCACTATAAACGAAATTAAATCACACAGCACAAGGGTGCGGTGTGTGTGACGGAGTGTGAAATATGTCGGCGATAGACCGTCTTAATCGTCACGCAAACACTGTGCAGACAAACGGGGGCGCCAGATAAAATCTGTGTGTGATTCAGGAGCAAGGCGCAGCTCACCGCTCGGTGTGTGTGTGCGTCTCTTAAGGGATGAAGCAATAGATCATAACCAAATGTAAAAGCAGCGTGGAGTTCTCTGCCGCACACCATCTGTTATCAACACTAACTGCACCCTTGCATCCTCGCTGACGCAAACTGCCTCTCTGCCTGTGGGCTGCTGAGCATGAAATTGTCAGGGCATGAGTTGGTTGTGGAAAGGAGCCGAACTACAATGTCCTTTGGAAGAACCCTACTCCACCCCCTTTTTATTTCAGTACATTTCACTTTATTTTCCTCATCAGCCCTCCCTCTCTTTTTTTTTTTTCTTGCATGTATATATTTGCAGTTCTCCCTGTTTTCTCCCCACTTGGCCACCAGTCAGATTTATGGGGTGCCAGTCTGCAGTACATCTCCCTCCCTTCTCACGCCTGCCCTCTCATTTCTGGCCTTCCCACTTCACCCGTGTGACCACTTGTAATTTAAGGACCAGTAGTCCAGGCTTTAATGCACTGGGGAGCATCTCTACCACACTTTGTCCTGGTTTAATAAAGAAAAGTACTCCATTCTGCATCAGTAACCAAGGCCCACAAATCTGTTGTGCAGCACAGCACACAAAAATCTGAGGAATGTGAAATAAAATACTCTCCCCTTCTGCCAAGCTTTCTCCATCTCCATGTTTTTGTAGCTTTGTTGTAAGTGTTTTTTCTTAACAGAAAGGAACAATGTGACACAAATTTGTAATAATTGTCTTCCAAACCTCTGTATCTCTTCTTTTGACAGATCTTAAGTTGACCGAAATGGGTAACTTGTTTTTCTTTCCTTTGGCAACATGAAAAACTTTTTTTGACAAATAACTCTCCCAGCCTTAAAATCCAGGTCTTGGATACTTGTTGTAATACACAGCCTTTTAGAACTGCACTCCACTGTGTCAGTGCCAAACAGGACAGTGAACGATGGGGCACAGCATGGAATTTGTCACTGTTTGGGGGCTGCCAGCTCACTACAATGAAGGGGGGAGACGGGGAGTTTGACCGTGCTTTGCTTCCCGGTCTTATTGAATACAGGCTCCTCCACTGCTGACCCATGTGCCGGACCTATTCAGCGAACATACACCTGCATTCAAAGCAGGCGCTTCGTCAGCACTTTCTGCACACCACATGTCTGTCTGTGTGTGTGTGTGCGGGCTTCTTAATGAACCTTTCCCTCAGCTTACCTGTATTTGCATTAGGTATTAACTGTCTGGTTGTTCTTTTTCTGGGGTTTCTTTGGGTATTTAAGCACAGAATGGTTTGTAAAGCGCAAGTGTGCAGATTACTTTCATAAGGAATCATACAGAAAGTTTTGCAGCGGTTGCTGCAGCTGTATAGAAATTCTGCACAGATCTTTTGCTTGTTTGTTTGACAGCAGCAGAGCGTTGAGCCGTCTGAAGAACTAAAGATTTTAAAAAGGATTCTCCAGATTATTGTAGCCATGTCTGCCACACTGTTGTGTTGCAGAGTGTAAACAGTTTGTCTTCTGAGTCTGCTGGATTCGCAGTGAAAGCCTCTTTCTGTTCATCCGATGCTCTGTCACTGTTTGCTACTACTCCTCCAGGATTCCAGGGTGATTTCTCTGTCTGGGAGAGAAGCTGAAATCATCCTCCGTGTTCTCAGACTAAATCACACCACTTTTTCTTCTCCAAGGAGAACCACAGACGAGCCGCCCCATATTTTCGTATTGCTTTTCCTGACTTTTCCCGTGCTGGCGAGAGCAGATACACTGGGATTCGCTCTATGCAAATTTTTCTAAACCTTATTTCCAACTCACAGTTTGTCGATTTAACAGAGTGGTAAGAATATCCCAGGATACAGCTTGTCAGCAACCACTGCACCCTCTCCTGAAGAGCAAATTCACAAGCAATACTCAGACATAATTTAATCTTGAATCTGATCAAAACGTTTGTGGAGCAGACATATTAAAATTTTGTTGTCTCTTTTTACAACTGGGTTTTTCACAGCGTGAACAGCTGGATGTTGCACAGTCTTGCTGTATCGTAAAATGCACAGCAGTTTGTCTTGATTTTTGACAGCCTTTCAAAAGAGTCTTCACTCTCGGAATCACCATTTTTGTTTTTGAGTTAGTTTCTGCGAGTTGTTGACATACACAGCCGAGTGAAACACTGATTTTATTATTAATAAATCCTGTTCTTTCTTTAGTCCAGTGATCCATTGGAAGCCCATAGGCTCCAAGATTTCTTGGATGCAAAAAAAGAGAAGCTTGCCTCATTAAGAGCCTAAATATACTCGAGGGCTCATTGGCTTCCTGCCGTGGAGTGACTTTTTGTTTTAAAAGATTTAAAAGATCTTCTGTATTTTAAGTTGTTTTCCTCTAATTAACATTTTCGTATGGCAGTGAAGTTATACTTTGTTGTGGTCCCATAGGATTGCAGCTATAACCTGCTAATGGTTTGATGGTGATAAGAAAATGACACATTTTTCCAGGTGTTGTCCTCCAAAGGTTTTGTGATGGCTGCAGTCAGCTGTTCTCATGGTGTCGTGGTCCCTTCTGCCCTCCGTTTCATAGCTCCATCACCCGCTCCGCATTTTATGTTTCAGCCTGTCATCTTGGCACCAGATGAGATGTAGACTGGATATTATTTTTGCTGTGGAGGTTTGAGCTGTTGTGTTTCCCGTAATTGAACATAAGGCTCCAAGTAGAGCTCAAAGGATGATGGGACCAGAATGTAATACAGCAGGCAAGGCACAAAACTCTTTCTTTCTTTTGCTCTTTCTTTCACTCTTTCTTTCGCCCTTTCTTCTTTAGCTTTTTCGTTCACTCTTCACCTTCCCTTTTTCTTTCTTTATTGCGCTCTTTCTTTTGACCTTTTGCCTTTTCCTTTTGCTTTTCTTTTGTGATATTCTCTACTTTAGCTTTTAAAAAATATTCTCAGACCTCTTTTTTTCTTCTCCCAGTTGTGTTCCTCTGAGTTCAGCTGGCCTCTTCTGAAGGCAGCGGATGGTGCTTTGACGCGTAATGTTACTTTTACTTAACTTTAGGTCTGTGGAGTCATTTTGATGTGTGACTGGTTGCCAGATGCAGCTGCCACTTTGGTGGCATAGGTCACCCTATGTGTGAATTTTCTAGAAACCCCAAAACGATGCAGGTAGAAGCATGTTCTATTGCATATATTTTCATTGTGGTTTTAAAATGCCAGTTGTGCTTAAAATTCATACAATAATTCATATAAATTCAGGCAATAATTTAAAATTGTTTTCAATCCAAATGGTGAGATGTCGACATATTGAGGACAGAACAAATTTAGTCATTCATTGGGCTGAACACAGTTGTCCCACACTGTGATGATTTAGTGATCAGGATGTCCCCATTTCTTTTTTTTATAAATGCATAATATGTTTTAATGTGCTGCTCTTTCCCACTGTTCTTCGACATCCTCTTTGTTCTTCATCAGTTTACTGCAGAGGATTATGTCCTCTTTCCATCCCTCACCGAGATTTCACTCAAAAATCAAAAGTGTCATCTGTAGCAGTCATGGCATGTGTAGACGGCCGACAGGGGGATTAGGCCCTAAAAAAAACTTCAGTACAGCGGGATTTTTGGCATGACTTCACAGCTCATATCTAAATGGAAATGGACTTCACTCTTTACCTGCAACTATTTCCTTCTCTGACACCAAGTCCGCCATCTGTGCGTGTTTTTATTTCCAGTGCTCCTGTCGAAAGGACATGGTGAAGATCTCGATGGACGTGTTTGTGCGATGCCTGCAGCCTGATCGCTACGAGCTTTGGAAGCAGGGCAAAGATACAACAGTGCTGGATCACCTGAGGCCCACCGAGCTGAGCAGTCCTGAGCTGGAAAATTGGAGGCAGCATCGAGTCACCTACCGGGAAAGCGTTCTCCGGAGGTGAGTCGTCATGCCGTGGCATGCTGGATGCTGATTGGTTGTCAGGAATAAATTAGGTAAAAGTACGGTCAGTGTGAGGTATCGCATAAAAGGCCTTCCTTTGCTGCATTTTTTCATACAACCCCAGGGCTATGCAAAAGATGAAGCAGTTTCGTCGTCTAAAGATGGAAGAGGTTAAGGTGCTGGCGGAGGAAGGAATTGAGCTGAACGCCGTTGAGTACCAACGTCAGGTGGAGGAGCGCGAGGCTCAGCGCAGGCAGGAGAGGGAGGAGCGTTTAGCCAGAGAGGCCATGATGACCCTGGAGGCCATGGAGCGCGAAGAGCAGGAAGCTGCGGAGGCAGCTGCCAAAGCCGCAGAGACTCCTGTCATAGAGGGTGAGTTGGAAATAACCATTAAAAAACGTTGGGTCAAGGAAATTGACCAGGTTTTATTCCAGCACATTATTCAGGATATGGAAGTAATCAGAAGCAGCACAGTTGTTTAATGTTGAATCTCCCAGCCTTAATGAGTGCGTACCACCTCTTTTGCTTGACCATCACTCTTCTGAATTGTTTATTTTTTATTTTTTAGCACAAGCCAAACCACAGAACTTTATAGATGATGTTGAGAAGAAGGTGAAAAAGCAGAAAACGATTTCCAACATTCACACTGCCATTACTGGATTTGAAGAAGCTTTTGGACAGTTTGCCACAGCTAACATGAAGAATTCAAACATTGTCAGCCACTTGGAGCCTGCGTTCATAAGACACATCGACGTCCCAGCCAGTAACAAAATGGATGTGAGTGCCACCCAGGTAACTGAAATTCATTGTTTTTTTTATCTCTTACAATTCATTGTCAAAGAAAAAAACTAATTTTCTGCTTGTAAGTTACAATTCAGCTAAAAATAGATCAATACAGGGTCTATGCTGCTTAATAAATTGGCTTGTTTGAACATACATGCAGTAATGTTAAACTGTTTTAAGTGAAACTAACACAATATGAAACAACCTTGTCTTGTCAGACGAGCTTCTCCAAAATAAAAATGCCAACAGAGGTGAAGAAGAGTCGGCGGCATCCACTCAGCAAGCCGCCCATGCGCTCCCCTCTGTCCATTGTCAAGCAAGACCCAGCCGGTGACAAAGGTATGCACCTTTTCTGGGTCACTTACAGAACCCTTTAGTGCACTGAATGATTAATTTCAGTGTAAAGCGAGAATGACCCGACAACCTGATCAGGAAGTTGTCAGGTTGTTCTTTTCCTTGGCCATTAGAAACAGAAACTATGTCAGTGGAAAACTAAAAAACCGTTACAATTAAAGAAGTGGGTAAAAGTGACCCCTTTCTTTTTCCATCCCAGTTTTCTCCATCATAATAGCTTAAATAAAGAGGGAACCAGTTTTTTTTTTGTTCTGATTGAGCTGGTGAAAGGAAAACAAGCAAGACTAAAGCTCACTGTGGGCATGATGAAATCAAGACGAGGAGACTCCTTTTCCCTGCTCTCTCATCTTTGTCTTTCTTCTCATCTTCTGACCGACAATTATTGATCTCTGGATCATGACTTCCAATTACCTGCTTTCAAAGTCACTTTAGGTCGGCAGCCAGGGGCCCGACTCAGCCTGTCCTTCTGGAGGAGTTGAAATAGGGGTGTGAGGTTGAGGGGAATCTTGTGAAAGATCGACTTAATTAGATCCACTTCTAACAAACAGTGAAGATCACCAGCCAGAGTGTTTAACAGCAAAATAAATTCTAACACAAAGATGGCATGTTTGTGCCAATTGTATTCATTCACACAAGTAAGAAGTGGTGGCCCTCAAGCAGTGTTTTATATGATTTACCCGAAGTGAACATCCAGATATCTCCAGTAAAAATAAATGGCGACAGATTGTGGCTATAATAATCCATACCATCTCTCAATGTATTTTCCTTTTTGTCCCTTAGAACTATCCTCCCCAATGCCGCTAGATAGCGACATGAAAAAACAGGAGCACCTGTGGCAGAACCACTCACCCAACTTTGTGGCAGAGAAGTCCTTCAACGCTGCCGTGGCTGCTCTGGAGCCATACTGTGCAGTCTGTTCACTCTTCTGTCCCTACACAAAGGTGAAGACACTGCTGCACGAAGCACACCTGTCCATCTTATTTTAGTGGTAGATATGTTTCTAGGAAAAGCAACTCATTTCTGCCATGTAAAGGATATTTGTGTTATCTTTTGCTGTTAAAGCCGCAAAAAGATGTCCTGACTGCTAAGGATGTCCCAGACATCCCAATGGCCCGTCACGGCAGCACAACTCGTCCACTGGTCCCAGAGATGTGCTTCAGTGTGGGAGCAGGAAACACAGAGCCACCACCCACCAACTATCACATCGGGGAGGATGGAACTAGCCTCCTGATCCGCTGTCCATCTTGTTTAATGCAAGTTCATGCAAGTAAGTGCTTACTGCATACATAAAGGCAGTAAGGTTTTCAGAAAAGTTGCAAAAAAAGGAATGGGAGTCAGACTTTTTCCTCAGCTGCTTGAAAGAGACTGCTGGTTTGCCAGGTAGCTTTGCAGCAGTGTTTGTCCCAGTGGACAAAAGCTGTTGCAAACACTTGCGGGAGGAGAAAGACAGAGCTCTTTTTTTTTCTCTGGGAAAACTCCTGCCGGCTTGTGGAGTTTCTTGTTTGCTGGCCCAGTCCAGAGACAGTTGGTACATCAAGCCATTTGGATTTCTGCAAAGTCAAACACAGCTCATAAGCGTTTTCATGGCCACCCATGCTTATCACAGGCAAATCCGCCTCAGCACTTTCTCAACTTTTTTTTTTCAAGCTTTAGTTGAAGTTTTTTTAAATCAATTTTCACTTTTTCCTTTCAGTGAGACCTATTCACATCTCCTGAATGTGAAGTCTCCTGAGGCCAAAGAAGCTCTTTCTATTTCAGTCCCTCCTGTAAAGTAGAAGAAAAACTGTTTGAAACAGGATTTTAAATCGAATATTGCATAAGAGTATTGGCCCCATCCACCTACAAGTCCATGCTTGAAATAGCATGTTTTCACAGTCAGACTCCACTGGATATCTCGCTGTGTTTCTATTTGAAACTTTTGTTCCTCTCAGACTCCTGAGAATGTTGTTGGGCAAAAATAGCAACACAAAAGATAAGAATTTGTTTCAGCATTGCTGTCTGCTCCTTTTCCCCTTGCCACACTCGGTTAGGCTTTACAGTTTAACTCCTTGACCCAGGTCGAACTTGTTAAAAGCCCATGGAAGCAATGGGAAGGTCCCGCTGAAGGAACACGATAAACCTGCCCCGCTCTTATTTATTCTGTTCACAATGTTTGCTATGAGGGGTCTATAGCTCCTCTAGACACAGTCTGAAAGAATAGGCTGCTTGTTATCTGTACTTGGGAATGATGCAGCTGATATATTGCTGCTTCTTTTAAAGGTAAAACATTCTCATTAAATATTTCTAGAATTTGTAATTGAAAATAAACAAATGAGCTTTCCACCGGGTTTTTTAAAAGAAGTTTTATCTGAACAGTATTTCATTTCTGTATTTAGTAATATGTTTTAATAGATTTTTTTTCCTACAAATCTAAACACAAAAACACATAAATCACACCACTGACGTGCTTATTTGTGCTGAACACGTGTACTGTGTAGTACACATCAACCCTCCTGGGTTCTTATTATCGCTAAAGCTGGAGTGCACCTTCAAAGCCAGTTCATTAGTCATCCAGGGATGAGCTGGACTCAGCTGCTGAAGCAGCAACGCTATTGATAAGAGGACTTGAAGCAGAAAGAGCTCCTGTCAGAAATGCCAGGTCTGCATCCCGGACCTCTGCTCCTTTTTGTTCTGGAGTGGACTTGGAGCTGAGGAGCATTCAGAAATCTCCAGGTGTTGCATAAAAGCCTCACGTCTCTGAGTCTGAAAGCTTGAAGCATGGACTGCAGGACAACGGCAAACATTTGAGAATAGAAAGTTGAGGGTCATGCTGTTATGCAGACCTCAGTGAATATCAAAACACCGAAAATTTACAGGGCTAGAATTTTTAATCTTGATTTGTTTTTTTTGCAGGTTGTTACGGTGTGAAGCCAGACTCTGTGAGTGAGTCCTGGATGTGCTCCAGGTGTTCGACCGGAGACTGGACAGTGGTGAGGAGTCACCTTAACTGATGCTCTAACACACATTTATTTAGAGTTTGTTCCTTAATGCTAACTGTACAACCTTTATTGGCATTACCATCAACATTTACAGAAATTAATACAGGCTCAAAGGGAGCTTAATTGTTTTGCCAACCAGACTGTGTTTACTTAAGAGGGTAAGGATCGGGGTTTTCATGCCAGTTTATTTGTTTTTAGGAGTGTTGTCTCTGTAACTTACGAGGAGGAGCTTTGAAGAAGACCACAGACAACAGGTTGGGACTCTGACAAATACAGAAACAACTTCAAACTCACTAAATCAAACCCCCCCCTCCTTTGGACACACTGACATTCAAAGTTTCCTGACTCTGTCACCAGGTGGGTTCACGTCATCTGTGCCATTGCTGTGGCAGAAGCTCGCTTCGTCAATGCCATCGAGAGGGAGCCAGTGGACGTCAGCGCCGTCCCAGAAACCCGCAAAGATCTGGTAAATGGATCTACACTTCTGCGTGGTATCAAACATGCGACTCCTATCTTCTCTGGCCATTTTTTTTATTGACTTTCCTTTAAGCACTTAACTGCATTCACCCTCTGCAGTTTAATTCCCGTCTCTTATGAAATCCCTTTTTCTTGCTCCTGCATTCTGTTCTTCTGCTGAAGCAGTTGCTGTCTTTTCTGCTCTTTGCCTGTGTATCTGTCACTTTTTTTGTCGCCCTCCTGCTTTCCTGGTAGACAGATAGATCTTTTTTCTTTGTGAGAAGTGGGGTAAAGCAGACGTGCTGAAGGGAATGGTTGAATAATCAGCTGTCATTTCTCACTGCGCCAAATGAACCGCATCGATCTTGTGGGTTGGAGGCAATTTCCCCATTGCTGCCGCATCTTTGCACTCAAACTTCTTTGGCGCCTCCCCATCCTTCCCCTCCTGCCATCCCTTCTTTCCAGGCTCTGCTTTGTGGCAAGGGATGGCAGCACTCGCCTTTGCATTATCACAAACGCACAAATAATGTCACCACTCTTCCCCCCTCTTCTCTCTGAATAATCTATCAAAGACAAGCTGGGTGACATTTGCATCAGAGTGCTGTCATAGCAGGTTTCTTCCATCACCTCTTAAAAGGCTTTGAGGGGAAGCTGTGCAGTCTAATGATTCGGATGACCAGGCTGATCAAACGTGAACACGCAACCGTGGAACCAGTTTATATTGCAACTGGCTCAACAATCATTGTGTTTTGCCCACCGTTAAACAGAGAAATTTTACTTGTTTTTCTCTCTGTATTTTAGCATTATTTTAGGCATAGTACCACTATTCAAATACTTACAAAAGTGCTTCTCCGAAAGTTTGCTTTGCATGCTACACCTACAGAATTTCTCTGATTAATCAGTCTTCTGAAAAATGTTCTCCACCAAAAATAACAAAACGCCCACTATATTCTTCAATTAGTCAGCCGATTAACTGTATCTTTTAAAAAAGCTGTAGCATGGAAATGTTGTCGGAGCATATTTCAGATTATGTTTTTTAAAAGAACGTTCAAGTCAAACAGAAGGTAACTTGTTTGCTTTTGCTCCAGATTATTTTCTATTGATTAGACTTTGCTGACAATGTGCTGCTCAAGAGTCCATTTAGTGCAAACTGTATTTTAAGTATAAATGTGAAATGTTCACATCAAGCTAAAATATGTGAAATATGGTGAATGTCCCTGCTTGTTGTTGCTTGTCCCCACCTGATTTTCGGGCTGGAAAATGCTACCAGCTGGTGAGCTGTCTGCCCCACACCTGATCAAAAATGAAATATCGACATGATAATAAAGAATTTTTATTTCTTTATTGAGCTATGCTGAAGGGCTTACAATGTTTTTGTTTTTACCAAAGGGGATAGAAAATGGATAGATGGTGTGAGAGTAGGGGGATTGGAAAGCCCACATTTGAGTACAAAAAAAAAGACAGTGTGATATTTTTTTTTTTTCAGTAGTTTTTTTCTCATTGATGATGTATCTTTTTCCATCATAATTTGTTATCTTATAGTGACAAAATTGTCCTAACAGAAGGTCTTTTCACTCCGAGATTGTTAGGAAATCGCTGAAAGACCACAAACATATGCTGTCGTTTGTGGCTATTCCTGGAAGTGCTTTTAAGATGGCTCGCCAGCGCCACACAATTAGAGGTCTGACAGCAGAAAGGGGTCTCTGAGGTTCATCGTGCAAGTGCTGCGTCGGGAAACATGACCCCAAGTATGAGGCATCCTATGCCCATCGCTCAGGGAGGGAAGCGTTGCTGTAACCTGTGTGGTTTTATTTGTTTTAAGAACAGGATGTATCTTTACTTTGCATGATGCATCTTTATTGCCTTTATGAGGAGAAAATTAAGCTTGGTAAAGGATCTGTGTGCAGATAAAGACCAGTTGATCTTGTTAAAGTGACTCGGAATGATGAGTACTTGTTAGGCTCTGTATACTGAGAGGTTCCCAAAGTAACAGGACTTTGTAATAGTCTCAAGAGTGCATGTAACCATACTTACTAACACCAAAGGATTTAATAAATAAAAAAAAGGATTAAGCTGTGGGGGATGGCTGGGGTGGCACTGACTGGACGCTCAGTGGTTAGTCTCCATGTTCTGCCAAGCCACATGTCGACCCCTTTGCCAAGGCACTGAACCCCAAATCGCCTACCGGTGTATCCTCCGGTGTGTGTGATGGTGTGCGTGAAGGGCTAAATGACATCTAGCGTAAAGCACTTTGAGTGCTCAGTTCAACTGGAAAAGTGCTTTATACATACAGTCCATTTACCATTTTAAAGGTTGTTAGGGATTACATTAACACCTCAGTCCGGTGAAGTTAAGTAGTGTAAAGTGAATGGATAAAAAACAAAAATAAAAAAAGTATTTCTAGCATTGATGACTGGGGGAAAAAACCGTCAATAAATAGAGCCTTTTCTATTTTTAATTAGAAACCAGAGAACAACAGATCAGACCCAAGATCAGAGAGGCAAGATAACTAATACATTGCTAACTCCTTCACATCTCCTTTTCAAGAGATGTTCCGCACTCACTGCAATCCAAGCTTTGCCAAACCTGAACAGTTAAGTGGCGTGAATGAAGTGGATCCCTCAGTTTTAATTGTAGCGACCCTCTCTGAGTTGAAGGTCGGATGACTTTCGGCCTGTCCTGTTTCCCGTGGCAACATTCAGAGTCGTCGCAAGGCTACCTAAAACTCTCACAGTGAGGAGGAATTAACACAATCTCCATTTTCTTTGCAGAAATGCGTGTTCTGCCACAGTAAGAGTGCTAATCAGAACCGTGGTGCCTGCATCCAGTGCACAAAGGAGAACTGCGCCACCTCTTTCCACGTCACCTGCGCTCAGATAGCAGGAGTGGTGATGCAGCCTGCCGACTGGCCCTATGTGGTGTCCGTCACCTGTCACAAGCATAAACGGAGTGCCCCCAAGGTAAAGTCAGATCATCAAAAAGACCCAGTCACTAATGGGGGTATGTTTTGCATTGGAATTTTTCGAGCTGTATATCACAAGTTGTCCTTCCTGTTAATGGGGAAAAATAAAAAAACAAACATCTTGTATGATGGGACTGTTATCAGCATTCCAAGCATGAACCTTTACATCATACATCTATGTTTTCCCCTTTTCAGCCAAAGGTGGCACCTAAAGCCACACACGGTGTTCAGTTGGGCCAGAAGATGATTGGTCGCTACAGCGATGGCTGGTACTACCACTGCACCATCATCGGCATGGCAACACTTGTGTTCTATGAGGTCAACTTTGATGATGGTTCATACTGTGACAACCTGCACCCAGAAAACATTGTGGTGAGTGTTACATCAGTTTCATATAACTCGTGAATGACATTTTTTTTTTTTCAGCTGTAGTACACGTCATTAAAAAATTGCTGACTGCACAAATAAGTTTAACTACATCAAATCATAAAGAGGCAAAAAAATTATGATTATCAGTTTGAACTATAACCTTAACCCCTTAGATTACAGTGGAGTGGAAACTATTTACGCACAAATGCATTAAACGGATAAACTTTAAAAATCATGTTCATAACATCTGAATTTATATAGTATAGAAAGATTATTTTTATAATCTCTGCATCCTCCAATTTCTTAATTCTTTATCCTCCATATTCCCAAACCTCCTGTTATATCCCCCTCCAGAGTCATGACTGCCTGCTTAATGGTCCTCCAGAGGCGGGGGAGCTGATCTTGGTCGGATCACCTGATGGCCTGATCCTCAATGCTTCATATGTCAGACAGCACATTCACAAGCTCTATCAGGTGAGGAAAACGCCACAAAGCTCCTTTACTGCCAGGTTACTCTGCATTTATTGAGTCTTTGGGTGTCAAATACGGGATCAAGAGTCACCATTAAGTTGGAGGTTAAGCGATAAAGTCTGTAGGTGGAAAGTGGTCAGCTAACACTGGAGTGTCTTGAGAAGATTGGAGGAAATATACAGACTGGCGAAATGATTAAAGTATGTCCTTTCAGAAGCTCCTAATATCTGTTGTTTCACAGTGTATTGACCGTACATAGTCAAAACAAAACCCATCATTTTAAAGACAGCCTTACCTCTGTGTCGTGCAGATATTGTATGCAGGCCTCAGCTAAATAATTTTCAGGGTGGCTTCAGTTGGTTCAACCTATTGGTTACAGACTTTCTACCACCTGATTAGGATTCCTAAACTTTAAAAATGAAGGAGAAAAATCTTCAGTATGGTGGAGCATAATGATAGTGTGGATAAAATAAATATTTAAAATGAAAGAACTGCTTGTTAGCCAAGAGGCCAAAGACTTAAAAACATACGTCAGAGTAACAAATTAAATTAAAGGAAGTATTCAGATTGTTGTGTTCATAATTAATTGTTTGGTTTGGTTTTGTCAGAAGGCACACGTGTCTGTTCACTAAACTGTTTTAGTTTTCAGTATTGCTGCTTTGTTGAGCACCAAATACGCACCCTGACCGTAAATTAAAAAAGTAAATTGCATTTAGATATTTTGAGTGCTCCACTTGTGGCTCTTGTTCATTCAGTGAGCCATTTTGGTACACTGTCAAGGACTTTTTGATGAGGGTACATGATTGTTGATCGAACCGTTTGTGTCCAGACTGTCACAGGTGAGTCATAACGACTCATTCTTCTCCCCTGATTGCTATGCAAAGTGTTTTTTTTTCTTCTTCTTTTAGCCTGACAGTTTTTCGGAATTTTCAGAAGAATATAAAAATCTGGAAATCGAGTTGGTTGATTCAATTGTTTTGTCATGTTTTTATAGGTGGAATTTCAGGACCAAAAACAACTGACGCTCAAACACTCAGAGATCTATCAGCTGGATCATGACTTGCCAAAAAGGGTCAGAGCCAGACTGGTGAGTATTTTCCAGACCCCCCCCCCCCCGACACACACGAACACACACCCATCACTGGTCTTGTAATGTTAATGAAAGAAAATGAAAGAAGCTGCAGTTTAAACACAGTGTGTTCTTTTGTCCCTCCTTTCACAGAGAAACTTTGTCAAAGCAGTGCATTCAGAATAGGGAAAGCAGAGACATGTTTAGGCTGGTGAAAAGCTTCTCTTTATAAGCCAAATGCATTGTTTTCCAGGCTACACCTGCCCCACAGGAGGAGATTTCCTCAGCCGATGAGGCCCAAGCAGCTAAACGCCCTCGCCTGCCCACCAAAGTAGCCCCCTATGCTGATTCCCACATGGAGAAAACCACTGGAGCGCTTTGCCCGCAAGCTACGTCCCCAGCAGCAGCACAGGCTCAAAATCATCACAGTATTAGTACGCCACCAATCTCAGAGTCTCTGTCCCACCCCACCATGAACCTGCAGGGGGCCCCTGCCCCACCTGGTGGCAGTCGGATGGATGCAGAGACCCCCATGGACACCCTAAACCACGCTCTCACAGAGTCGCCCCTGGTCTCTGACCCCACGCTAACTCCGCAGTCCATTCCCTTTCAGGCCACTTTGAACTCTGACCCCCTCCTGTCCGCAGCGTCCCCTCCACCCCCGCCCCAGCACATGTCCGACAGCTACACACCCAGCAGTGGCTACGTTTCCTACATGGAAACACTCCTTCACTCACATTTTCCTCAGGACGATGGCCACGGCCCCCTGTATTGAACCCAGCTCCGCTATGTAATTACTCAACCCATACAGGCTGAGCCAAACAGGAAGTAAGCTAATGGAGGTGGACTCTGAGTGCTGTATTATTGGACAAACATTTCCTTCACCTGCTCTAACAGCAGTTGGCAGGAGGAGGAACAACAAGCACTCTTTTAATGCATGTTACTTTTTCTATTTTTTAGTTAATGTATTTTGCAGTGGTGCTTAAGTCTGAGCTGAGGTAGCAGCTAAAGAGCACAGGGCTTTTTTTGATTTTCTAACGTTGTTTTTTCTTTTCTTTTTTACACTGTATAGCTTTTTTGTTTTTGGTCAGCTGCTGTATGTGTTTTCCTTCATCTTAATATAAAAATGTCTATGGGTGACATCAACTCCATACCTCGTTGCATTTATTAAGTAACAGCACACTCCTGTCTTCTTTCTATGGGAATTGTATTGTTATTATGGCCTCTCAGCAATGAGGCCAAAATGGACTCAGCCTTCTTTTTCTTCTCAAAATCAAGTAACCAGCAACAAGATTTCTATTTTTCAATGCAGTCAATCGTGGATTTGGAACATGTAAGATCAGTGTCACATCCACAGGACATTTTCAGTAAGGTGTTTTCTTGTCAGACTGCGAGAGGTAAATGGAGAAATGGGGTAAAATATATATATATTGTAAAGGGGACTCAGTATTTAAATGTCTTAGTCAAATATCGAAAGAATTATTTGTAATAGAAGAAAACAGTTGAATGCAAACACTAGTAGATTTGTCTGCAGAATGCATTACATTTTGTGAAGATGTGTCACCGTAGTCAACAGATGGCCTCTTAATGTATTGACGTCATTTGACAGCAACATTGATATTTTTTCTCTCTCTTTTTTTTTTTTTACACTAAAATAAAGTCAGGGTTCCTACATGTTGTAGGTGAATTTTGGCATCCAAACCATCAAACAGTTTGGGACAAGCAGGACAACCCAAAAGTGTTTTTCACACTTTTTAGATTAGATTAAGAAAGTCCGTTACAAGGCTATATTTGCTTCCATTGTTCTGCAGTTTGTCCTCCAAACTTAGTGTCTTTTTACTGTCACTTGGCTACTTTGAGCTTTTCAATTGGCCCAGAACTGTCCGTCGTTAAAGGGTATAGGAATATCATGAAAAAGGAAATATGTAGGAACCTGTAAATTTGGATATATTGCAACATTCTTAGTTAATTTGTATGTGTCAATCACTCTTGTAATTTGTTGTACAATGTCAGTTTTTTCTAATAATGTACCCTTTCTATGTTCTTTTTCTGAAATGAGTTGACAGAATCGGCCATGTCATTAATATTAATACATTTCTTCTGGGCAGGTTTTGCAGACATCTAAAACTAGTTTCTACTAATAACTGTTTTTGTTGTTTTTCCTTCCCGCCCCATGAAAATAGCTACAGAGATGCTTAACTGTTAATGGACAGATTCAATCCACCTCCACCTTTCCACCCACCTACAGCTGTACCTCTGTATAAACCACAAGCCTTGTGTTGTGAGTCTAATTTGTAAATTATGCACGTGACTTTTCCCTTTTTACTGTTGAAACTGAGTTATCTGAACGGCCATTCGTTCCTGTTTCCAGATGAGATCAAAAAAAAAGTTGATTAATGGGGATTAAAGTGGGTTGCAAGTCACCAGATCTTCTGTTGTCTGTTCAGGTGCTTGAAAAATAAGTGGAGAAAAAACCAACAAGTTCTCGCTTTGGTCGGAACACTCAAATATGGGCGTTCACTGTTGGCAGCTTTATCGGGCTTTGAAGTTTCATTTAGATTTTTGGGGGTTTTAAATTAGATAAATTATGCAGCTCATATTTCAGTGAATGGAATAAGCCATGGTACAGTATTGCCCCATCCCCTGTGTGGCATCTGCCCTTGTGATGTATAAATCAGTTCAATAAAACTTACATGGAAACGGAACAGTTACCCCTCTACAATTTGACCACAAATTCACATAAGCAGGGTGTGCTGTTTTAAAGCAGCACCCCTGCTTATCCAGAGCACCTCATCTCTGGCAATTCATTTCTCCCACCTTTTAAAAGATAATTCCTATCTATTAATTTGGTTATTTATTTTGGTTATCAGGTAAAACCTGCTCTCAAGTCTCTTATATACGATGTACTGTAGGTTAACAAGGTTAATAGGCTCCAGGTAGTCTTCTTTCCGTTTCTGCATTACCTTTAGTATCAGATTGCTTGTTATTTAACTGGTTTGATACTGCCACATTCAATACGAAGAAAAACATTTCAATAGGGACAAAGAAGTTTAAGTTTGTGAAAGAAGAAAAAGAGAATAATTTCATACCATGTCTTTTACGTTCCCCTTATTTCTGCGCATAATTGTACTCCCTGATTGATTCAGTAATGGTGAAAGCTGAGGGTATCGGGGTCACCCTGTCTGTGATGTATATATTTAAAGAAGAAATCGTTTTTCCTTGAGCATTCGGCAGGGAGTCTTGTGATATCTCCCCTTGTGTGTTATTCATTCATGCTATATGTATTTAGTAGAAACCACCTGTTATTTGCTTAAAGCGAGGGAACATTTTTATAAATGTGGATAAAGTGAATTGGTTTATGCGCAATTACTCTTTATTCAGAAATATTGAGATCCATTAATGAGGTTGAAATAGCAGCTTTGCAGAATAAGTGTTATTCAAAATCTTATAACAAGTATATAAATGGAAATGGCACATTGTGAAATGCTGTTGTTTTTTTTTTCCTTTGCACAAAATGATTCTTTTGCAGTGTGCTTTTATCAGGCTCATGCTTTAGGATATCAATTTAGTTGTCTGCATATTGCATAGTACCACTTACATCAGGTTTGCTGCAGGTGATGCTCCATTCAACCTGCTGCTTAGAAGAGCCTGGTTTTGAGTATTTGTCTTTATTATAATAATTAAAAATCCTCTATTAATTACAGCAGAATGGTTATTTATTCTTAAGCATCATAAACATAAAAAGATGTTCTGTTCAAGTGAAAGAAATGGAAAGACCAATTTCAATTATTTTTGTGTGTTTTCTTTAACTTGAGCCATTATGATTCTAAAAGTTGAGGGAAAGAGTGATGTCACAAAATTATTAAAAATATCAAAACTGTTGCAATTGGATTTGAGTGGAATCAATGTTTTAGTTTCTTCTACAAAATAAAAGCTTTTTGAATTTTTATTGGAAAACTTTTGAATTTGAAAGAAGCCCATTTATTGAGTAAGTTAAAGGAAAGGTAACAAAAAGAGGAAATATTTTGTTGATAGAAGCAAAAGCTCTCCTGTTCATACACACTCTCGCGCTACTAGCTGTGCATATGGTCCACCTGCATCGCCCTGGCTGGATCTGGGTGGCTATTAACATTCCGAGGTGGCTGCCATCTCTTTGCAGAGGATCTGGGGACGCGCCAGCTCGGCAATTACTTTAACAACTTGTGAGCTTGATTTCTTTTTTCAGCTGAACCCAGCCAAGGGTAAAACTAAGAAGAAACAAGGGGAAGTGGACTCCAAAGGACAAAAGTTTATGTCAGCCCATCTGTAGAAGCGAGGGAACTAGCCATCAAAAAGAAAGGAGCTGCTGGAGAGGGCATGCATTTCCGTTAGCGTGTGCAGCACACGGCGTGTCCATCAAAAAGTCCTTCAGAATGACTTTTAAAATCTGAGCTAATGGTTGACAATCAGACAACCGAATGGCTCGCATGGAAGTGTAAAGCACTGAATGCAATGGGGTCTAATTGCAGTTGAATGCAGCAATTATGTTGACAAGCTGGTTGATATGACAGGTTCCATTATGGCCTTAAGCTTTTATTACATTTCTACCTAGTAAATCACATCACTGCAGCAGTATTCCCATAATGACTTGCTCAAGCTCACTCTGTCAGTACCGTCTTTTCGGGGATACGACAGAATAATTAAGGGAGGCTTTATGAACTCCAGTATCAAAGACTTAACCGTGACTTGACCACGCATGCCTTGTCTGTAGCCTAACATCCGACACTTCCAGCCGTGGCGAGATGGAGTGTCTCCAGAGCTCTACTGTTGGCACATTCATCAGTTTGTCAAGGCTAGACAAAGGAAAAGCACAAACATACTTTAAACATGAACATACACCGCAAGAAAGATCTGAATGGTGGTGGATGGGGGGTGCAACCCTTCAACAATGAATTTTTTCTGTATCTCACAATGTCCAGTAACAGCAGTGCGGTTGAGCGACAAATTTAACTGTGAGGAGGTCTGTTAAATAAGATAGCACCTTTTAAGTGTGTCATAAAATGTTGGAGAAAAAAAATCAATCTGGGCACAGACTGAAGTCTGAATAGATGCCAAGGTCTGGTTTATTTGTCCATGCTTATCCCAGGCCTGTTAAAAGAATCTTTTTGGATCTCAACTTTGAAAATCTAATAAAGTGTACTTTGTTTACTTTGAAAAAACATGGTCTGATTATTGGTATTAATTGTATCCTCTTTGTAGATAGAAAATACCTTAAAAAATATTCTAAATAAGGACTGCAGACTTGACAGGCTGTAATCAGCATGTTCTTCTGATTAATCTCTTGTTGTGCCACTTTATCACCAACCTCCTCCCTTAACATCCAGATTCATCTCGGTATACCATAACGTGATCATCCAGGCCATTACACATTGGCATCTCATTTCTTTTTTACCTTCCCTCCCAGATTCACAGGTGGAAGTATTTTTCACACCAGGAAAGAAAATAGGAAATGAGATGAGAGGACTATTCCTCACCAAAGTTTCATTGAAGTGAAGTGCTACATAGATTTACACATATTACTGAAAAAAGTCATCTGTTCTCATTTTTTTCTTTCTTTCGTTTGTTAATTAGGGTAAGAATACTTTTGAAAAAGTCAAACCTTGCACAAAGAACAAAAAAGAAAATGATTGATATCATGAAAATCTGTCAGACAAGTTGTGGTGAGCAGGTGGTTGAAATCTGACATTTGAACCGGAGGCAGGTGAAAGATTCCTGGTTTCAGCACAATGTGCACTCAGACCATGTAGTTTCCGTTATTATTGTCATTCATTCAACTTGCTTTCATTGCGCATAATTTCCTTATTAACATCACATCCCCGTTCAAGTTTTTCCCCTCGCCTGAGAGTTACTCATATCAGTCCCTAAGGAAATGAGCCTCTATCTATCAGTCAGAGACCTTGAACATTTCCACTCAAGGGACCCTCCCTGGTGTTTTTTTTCCTCTTGTGGAATAGATTTTCATCTTCATGTTTCAGAATTGTATGTCCAGCATTTGTACATGACCATTTTCAGACATGTATTTCCATTTGCAAAATCTACTTAACCTGTGATTCTCTGAAATTTGAAAAGGGCTCGTAACTCAAGGAATGAACCAGTGTTTGGTGAGTACTAAACAGAAATGTTAGCAAAAAAACAACCATGGTTTGCAGTATGTCCAAATGTAAAAAAACAAACAAACTGAAGGACTCTGGAGCAGGTGGATGAATCCAAAAGCCAAAGGCTAAAAATAGATGATCGAAACAGTATCTGACAGAAATACCAATTAAAAGAAACTAAAAAAACACTGGAAAACACAAAGTAAACAAATATCAAACACAATTAATCAACAGTAACATTAACGGTAATGAAAGCCCCTACTACATCAATAGAATTTCATTGCATTTCTCTTATTATTTCTCTGACATCAAACTCTGGATTAGTCAGTAGCTTTTCACTCACTTTCTGTGTTTTTATAAGATGAATGTGGGAGCTTTCTTTTATCTAAAAGGAAAGCGTTTGTCTTAAGTGTCTGAACTGTGAGACTCAGTCCCTCTGTTCTTGATTCTGATGCAATTAACTAAAAAAGACGTGGTGGATGTTTGTTCGAGAACGAGATTAAAGAAAAAAATAGTGCTGGTAAGTGCTGGGCCATATTAATGAAGTGAATCTTCATCCAGTCACACACAACAAATAAATGGCTGCCGCTTGAAGCTCTTAATCGGTCCATTAGTCTTTGAGCGACCACAGACACGTCTTTTTCCCCCTCAGTGTCTCATTCCCTTTAGACCAGACCACGTACATCCATCACCTCACTTTTGCATGCCGACCACACACACTGACAGAGCTGAGTGCACAGCTGGAGATGCTATATCATATTTACTCCTGCTCGGGAGCAATAAACGGCGCATTCCTCATCCCGGGCCTCTGGTGTCCCTCTCTCCATCATTTAAATATCTTGATTAATCCTTCTCTCCACCACTAACCTCAAAACGCGGCCGTCACGTCTTCCCGTTTGTACTCCTCCGACTTGAACTGATGGTGTCTTCTCGTAACCCCTGTTTTGCACATTTAAATGAATTTGTTGTTCCGTCTGGTACTTTTATTTACCGACGTGTGGGTTCAATATATGAGAGGCTCTGCAGTAGGGCTATGTCGAAATGACCGAAATGAAAGGCTGAGGTGGGAAGTTATGGCAGATTTGCTCCCCCAGGTCGGCCTAATTAAAGACTAGAAGGTATCCCGTGTGACTTTAAGAGCTGCACAAACACAGTCAGAGTCCAGGAGCGCCGACATGCTTATCTCTATGTGACCTGCTCCTAATTTCCCCCCATTTTCCTTCAATTTCTCAGCTACCGTGAGCTTCCCCCTCTGTTAATTTAAACACTTAAAATCCCATTTCAGACACAATTAGCCTTTAGCCCATCAGAGTGTCATCGCCAGTGGCATTTCCCCCCACCCTTCCATTCTTTGTGAACATTTTCCTCATTCCCTGATAAAGATCATTGAGGTTACTAGGAAAGGGAGTTTTGATCATTTATAGAAAAAAAAAACATATTAAAGGGCCTTTTAGCAGACCCATTAGGAGACTGTTAAAACCTCCGCTTGGCATGCCAGGGTTATCAGGGCTACAGGGAGCCTTTAATTCATTCCTTTACACAAAGTTTTTTAATTACATTTGAATGGAAACTTTCACTGCGAGAGGGACGGGACCTGCTGCTGTTATTTACTTGGTAGGAAACTCCTAAGTGCCGAGCTTGCGAATTAAGGATCCTCATCATTTTTACTTTGCAGGCAAGTCACAACATAATTTCACCGTGGCTGCCGTGCAGCAGGCTCTGAGTGGGTTTATTGTTCAAATGCATGTTTAAGTAATTTATGTTTGCCTGGGCGCATAAAAAGAGTGTTTGTTCACATTTTCTGATGTGTTTCCCCAAGTTTCTGTCAGGATATTCATCATTCACCGATCATGTTTGCTATGTGGGGTGGGGCACTTTGATTACAAGCCATACTAATATCTAAGGGGAGTAAAGGTGATTTTTATCCATTTGATGAGACTGGCAACCTAAATAGGGTTTACCCATTGTCTTTATTCTCCAGTGATTGGCTCTGGGGCCTCCCAGCCATGATTAAGCAGGTATGGAGAAGAAATGATTGAATGAATTCATGAATATTCAGAGCAGGGGTTTTTGCATATGTAAGTGAACACTGGCACTCTAGTTGGAGAAACAAAAAATGGATTCCTGAAATACTATAAGTACTCAGGCAAAAGCTTAAGCTGAAATTAAATTAAATGAAAGCTTCAGTTCACATCTTGAAACTTCTATTAATGCCAGGATTTGTTTTTCTCTTTAGGCTCTCTCTCATGAGATGATCTGGGAACTTTTTGGTTTTTTAAGTTTTCAAAACTTGAAAAGAAATTCTTTATTTTGGTTGAGGTTATTATAAGTAAGAACAAAAGTCTTTAAGTAATTAAGGACACACTTTATGAAGGGGTCAGTTGCTTCCACATAAGCATGTTTTCCATGATTCAAATTGCTTTGTTAACTCTTTTGAGTTTTTAAATGGAACCTATTGCTGTTCAGATTTAAACATTCTGTTCAATTCTTTAAATGCAATTGAGAAAATTACCATATCATTCTGATTAAATTCAAGATGTGCAAGTTTATATAAAACTTTCATTTCCTGTTGCTATTGACAGGGTGTTGAGCAGGACGCAAGCATCTCTAGCATGCAAGGCTGACCTGATTACTTCAAGTAAATTGTGAAAGCTCATTCTTCAGAGGCAGGTTTGTGTGCACCACCACAGAAGAAGATGAAAAGGAAGGGGATGGATGCTAAGGGTTGGAGGAACAATGAAAAAAAAAATGAAAGCTATAAAACTGAAAATGAAAAAACTGAGAGAAAAAAAGGAAAAG